TTGCTCATTCATTACAAATTAACGCTATAATATATTATGTTACGTGGTTGTTCGACATACTCCTAAGTGTAATGTTATGTAGACGATGTGTTTACGCCATAAACTCTAGCAGACACAGAGGCGTAGCGAAGGGGGCAAGGGGGACAGTTGCCCCTGGGCGCAAGCTAGTTAGGGGCGCCAAAATGCGCTTTGATATTATATTATTGGTAAAAGTAATGGGTTTCAGAGTTGAAAAAAAAGAAAAGGTGGTGCTTTCAAATGGATCTTGTCCCCGGGTGCGAATCTTGTCCCCAGGCGCCAAACACCCTCGCTACGCTTCTGAGCAGACACCACGCATTTAACGTGTGGCTAGCTAAAAATAGTGTCTTGTCCTTGTTTACAACTAAATAAATTTAACAGCCTGCATCCATTAGAATTCTGTAGAAAAATCTGTAGAAAACTGGAAAGGAAAACAATACGTAAGGCAGTTCTAGATATATCAGTAAAAGAGACTACAAAAGAAACACGAGAGATTTTTGAGCTAGCATTTCATCACGAGATATTTGGAGAGTGTGTTATTTTCGCTATTTGAGTTTTTTTTATATTCGTCATTGTACCTTTCTGCTCATTGTCAACATTGTACAGGTACAAGTAAAACAATATTCTGTAAGTAAAATTTTGTATAATATATTTCTTTATTTTGTTATTTGTTTGTAACTTAATAAAAAGTATTAATTCTAATTAGCCCTGGTTTGATTCTCGCATTCTTTGTTATTGTATTTATCATTTAAATTGTCTTTTGTTATGTACTGTTGTAGAGCGAGCCATATATTTAAATAGGAGATTAATTTCTCCATATAGATAGCAGTACTTAACAGTAGCATATCTCTGCTCAATAATCCTAGTTCAAACGTAAACATTATTTTATTGATGCTATGTTCGTATGTGTTAATATTGCTGAAAAGAATCATCATCCCAAAGACATGTCAGATTGATTTTAATATGCAAACATTTTGAAACAGAAATAGTTAACAAAACTATACAAGACATTTTTTAACTTAATCCAATATTTTATTATTTTATTTCTTTCACGTTACTTTATATACTTATCATTTGTTCACTCATTAAAATGCTAGCAATACTAAAATTTCTACATGCAATTTTTTATTATTTTTTTTTTTTTTTATGTAGAGAAAACCCAATTATTTATCCTCCATTAATTTCCTTTAAAAATCATTAAAAAGGCCCAAATTGAGAACAAGTTGATTTATCATCAGGAAATTGCTCAAACATTAATGGTCTAAGAAATTTGGTTGTTTTGCCATGGAATATGAAAAAAAAAGCAAAAAAATATAAATTTCTACATGCAATTTTTTATTATTTTTTTTTTTATTTATGTAGAGAAAACCCAATTATTTATCCTCCATTAATTTCCTTTAAAAATCATTAAAAAGGCCCAAATTGAGAACAAGTTGATGTATCATCAGGAAATTGCTCAAACATTAATGGTCTAAGAAATTTGGTTGTGTTGCCATGGAATATGAAAAAAAAAGCATAAAAATAATCACTGCAGGGATTTATGGGAAACATTAAAGTAACAATTATATTTAATTTGACAAAGCTTCAATTGCGAAAATTTTTTTATAATAATTATCAAATTTTCAATAGTAACAAGTATGATGTATTTTCTATTTTAAGAATCAACATTCTTTGTGATTAACAAATCGGTTAATTTCTTTGATAATTTTTTTATTTTACAAAAACTATGACAAAATGAAGCAAAAAATAACAACTAAAAAAATATGAAATTAGTATTTTTTGTAAAAATGTGGTTTAGGTATAAGCATACGTATGTAAATTAAAATACGCTGGATAATTAAAAAAAAATAAACATATTCGTATTTTATAAAAACACAATTCAAACATAAATTAATTATACACAGGCTTAAAAAATATTGATTCCGAATAGTATATGAAGCTTAATACAACGATGAGAATAATGTATTCATATTTAATGGTGTTTTTTTTTTTCCTAAATGAATGTGTGGGTACCTTCTTGCACGGCTAAATCCGTGGCATTATTTTTCTTGTGTTAATGAATTTTATTTTAAAGCACTAGAATAAATGACCTGATGTTATTGGGATAATAATGGTAGGCCCTTTGCGATAATTTCTAACTGCTTTTGCTTAAACACATCACAATTCATCAATTTTAAAATGTAATGATATTTATGTTTCTAGCATCATTAGGTTTTAAGAAGTGTTTATCTGCTATGTATGATACGCGTACCCTACTCCCTTTCAAGCTTCTAAACTACTTTCCCCCCTCTAAACATGGCCTTAAATTACCCAGTCTAAATTATCACTCATTATATCACTTTTGTCAATAAAGAAGTAATGGAGGAATAATTACTACGCTAGAGTAATACTTTAGATTTACCCCTTTTAGTGCACCTGAATTACAACTTTTTTCTCTCAAAATTTTTTTTAAAAAATCTTAAATTTCAACAAAAACTCTATATATGATATAAATATATTTTGTATTACAGGAATTTGATATATATTGATATCTTCATCAAAAAATTAAACACATTTTTTCAATGTTAAAATTATACATTACCAGAAAATCGTAAAACAAAGAATTCTTTTATTTAAGAAGAATCTGGCAAATGTTTTTCAAACCTCCATCAGATTTGACAGACTTAAAAAAAAAAAAAAATTAATCTCATAAAAATAAACACCTCTTTACCTATTTAATAAAAATAATAAAAATAAAGGTTATTTGAAAATCTCGATTCATCCCCAAAGGCTCAAAGCGCGGTACAAAATCATCCATTATAGAAAAACAATTTGCAAAATAACAACAAAATATATTGTGATTTAAAAAAAAAAAAATATTTACTGATCTTCATTTGTCAAAATTTAATTTCCAAGTGTGTAAAATAATTGGTTTTTGATGTTCATGAATATACTTATATAAATGTACCCAATATTATTTAACGCCATTGATTTTCTTAATTGGTAAACATATTTTTATTTGTAAAATGATAATTTAAAATCTCTTGTTTTACAAATATAATACCATAGGATTCAAATATATTGTCATCCACGTAAAAATTTACAAATCCTTTTTCCTATCTCCGATATCTATGTACCCAGAAAGGTTAATTAATAATCAAATTAATTCTTTATTTTGGGACGTATCTTGCATTGACTTGGGCAAAATGAACGATATTTGTAAAAGGAGAATGTAACAACTTATTTTTTTACAAATGTAATATCACAGGAGTCATCCTCATTGTCATCCACGTATGTATGTACACATCTTACTTCCTAACCTCCCAAGAGCATTTACCCAAGTAAATTAATTATTTATCAAATTCATTCCTTTATTTTAAGACTTATCTTGTGCTGCCGTGAGATAAATGAGCATACCCATATTTGTAAAATGAGAATGCAACATCACTTTTTTCACAAATGTAATACCATAGGGTTTAACTATATTGTCATCGACGTAAAAATGTACACATCCTATTTCCTACCTACGATATGTATATACCCAAAGAGGTCAATTATTTATCAAAATCATTCCATTATTTTGAGATTTATCATGTGCTGCCTGGGGCAAAATGACCAACCCCTCCCCCACCCAGATTTAAATAATTTTAGAAAATATCCAACGCATTGTACTCCCTTTTATACCCCAAGTAACATATTTTGCACTTCACATGGTTCGTTCTTATTTGTATGAGGTATAAGTGGGTTAGTGAATGCTATTTAGCTATGGAGTTGCGCTGCACTGATTGGCTTAAACCGCATTTTCTTTCTAGAATTATATTGAAATGTTAGTTTTTATTACGTTATAAATTTAAAAAAAGTATATTTTTGGAATAAAAAAGGCAAAACTTTTTAAATGTAAAAATATACAAAGCAAATATGTGTTGTTTTTTTATTAACAATTTAGAAAGCAATCAATTCTATTTATTAATTTTACTTTTAAGAAGTGAAGATACATTATCAGTTCTGTCACGCTCGGTTATTAAATTTAAAGAAATCTAAGAGTTTTGGCGAAATAGTCTATTTGCGCTATGACGTCATTTTCGTGATTATTTAGAATAAATTAATTTTAATTTTATTTCCCAATATTAACAACGCACTAAAAGTCGCCCAAAAAAAGACCGATGCTTGAGTTTTCCGATAAAAGTGATTACAGTGCAATTCTTTGATCATGGTTTTTTATTCTTTTTATTTTTTCATAACTTTCAAACACATAAAATGCTTAATATAGTTCCTTAGTTGATACTTTTAATGCATTTATAATTTATAATAATATAACTTTAATTTTTAATAAAATGAAAGCGGATTTATAATATTTTTTGCGCATTTAAATTTATTCGATTTCTGTAAAATAATAGAAAATAACTATGATTGTTTTTAGGAATCCAAACGTACTTAAATCGCATTCTCTCTTTGGCGTTATGTCACTCTAGTTCATTCTTATATAAATTTTTAAAAAAATTAATGTCACAAAATACTTTCGATACTGTCTCTGAAAACCTAATCTAAATAAATTATATAGCAAACATTAATTTGTAATATTTATTTTAATTTCAAATAAAAATATAATAACACTTAAATGTATAATTTCATTTTTTGAAAAACACATCTTATTATTTTCAGTGCACTTTCCTCATTGGTTTAATCACCTGGGCATATACATCATCGGCGACACTATCCAATTCACAAACATTGTCACCTAAGTTTCCATTAAATGAATTGCTTATGTGGTTATCATAGTCCGAGATAGCTCCCAGCGATGTGTGTCCCTTCTTGTTGGTAACTGCTAGCAGTACATTTTAAGTGTCAGACAATGATCTTGTGTTTTGACCAAGCGTAGAATAAGGGTTTCCACTGTTGTGAGACGGCTCACTAGTATATGTACCAACATTACTGTTTGCATTATTGTTAATTTTAGTGTACGTCATTTATAGACGAATAATCCACATCAGACTCAACAAATGGTGGATTCGAAAATTCGCTTGGTTGACTTTGACGTTGAGCTGTATTAATTTTAGATGCGTTATAATATTTTATTTCTAAAGCTTCAATTGCTTGATTCTCTACACAGGAGTATGTAGTAAAGTTAACATTCACATTATTACTGCCACGTGTCTTAGTACCTTCCATATGTGCAGTAATTGTGTTTACACATTTGGCTTTGGTTAAACCTGTTACGTATTTTTTGTCGTCACCAATAACTGTATGAATGTGTTGTTTTTTTAGTATTAGTACCATTCTCTTGTGTGTTATCCAAATTGCGTTCCTCTCTTGGGAATGTTTTAGCTGAGTTCGTTTTTGTCTCTTTCTTAAAAACACTAAAATCAAAATGATCAAGATGATGATGAGTGCCCCTCCCCCAACACTGGCGCCAATTATCACATGTAAGGAATCGTCAGTTGGATTGATTTTAGAATTGTCTGTAGACGAAGGTGAAGAGTAAGTTAAGATAAATGGTGATTGTGATCTTAAGGTTGATTGTGATGTTAAGGTTGATTGTGATGTTAAGGTTGATTGTGATGTTAATTTTGATTGTAATTTTAAGGTTGATTATGATTTTAAGGTTCATTTAATGCTAAGGTTGATTTTGATGCTAGGGTTGATTTTAAATGATAAGGTTTCTTCTGATGTTAAGGATGGTTGCAATTTTAAAGTTGATGTTTGATGAGATTTTGTATTTTGACACTCTGCATTACTTGGAAATTCTAAAGTTTTGTGTATTATATGTAATTGAAATACTTTGAATAGGATTAAATGGGCACATTGTAACACATATTTCCGGCACATGTGGAGGACGTGTTTGTGTTAAGATACAACCATGATAACTTAGCATAGTCACAAATTTTAACATCTGGAAGCCGTGTGCATTGAAAAACTGTAGACGAAGAAGTGCAAGTAAATTCCTTTAGCTACATTGCAGGATCTACGTCCTGTGCCATAAAAGTTCTACTGCTGTTGCTGACAACAGATCCATTATCTCTGACATATGTTATAGAATAGGAATATGCTTTATTGTCACACAGCAGCCAGGAAAGCCTGATATAAAAAAAAATTTTTTGTAAATAAAAAAAATCAATATCCATTTGTTTATCTTGGTAAAGATTCCATAAAAGGATTGAATACTGGAAAGCACATTTTTAACAATTATAAGCATTTTTAAGGGTAATTTTTTAACCTTAATTCGTTATAAAAGGTATAAAATAATAACAATGATATGTCATTTTAATTAATATTTTATGATTTATAATATTAGTTAAATCAAAACTTTACGTATTGCTGTTGAGCAACATTGATAAATCGAGTATAATTACTTTGGTTAGAATCCTGCAAATGCAAGACAATATCAAGAAATTCACTTGAAATAATTATATGCCTACTATTTAAATTTATACATTTGATGAGCGCTAAGATTAAGAAAACACGTTCAAAATCCATATTTACGTCAATATTTTAAAATTATTCTTAATTTGGAAACATCAAAATCGTCACAGGAAGATAAACTTTTGTCTATGCCACCATCTAGGAATAATTACAGATAAAGGTAAATTATCTTTAGGACTTTTGTTATAGTGTAAATTCCAAAAACATGAATATGTTTCTAAAATGCTCTATTTTGTTAACAATACGTAATATTTAGCTCATGTAAGGTTGTATTTTTTTATTCACAATTTTAACACAGTACACCTGACACACATTTATATCAACAGGAAGTAAATTACTTTTTTAAACTACCCAAAATAACTAACAGTAATGGGAATGACTTTAACCCACCGAAAAAAATTTGCTTCAGAACATGACAAGAAACGAGAGAGTACTGGATAAAGAACTTTCTTAGACCCTAACAGATAAAATATGTTAATGCCACCCTCTCCTCAAAAGATGTGGCATTCCTTGACAGGTGCAAAGGCATCAGCCATGGCACTTTGGAGTTAATAAATTAGCTTAAAATTTAAGTTTTATTTTTTAAATTGTATTTTTATTTACTTATTACTGACTACGTGAAAATTTTAATTCCTTAAATTTAATTTAAATTCACTTATTAATGATGTCGTCAAAACTCTCCATTTGATGAATACCATAATAGAAAAAAAAAAAAACTATTTGTCTTGATTCCTTATATTTTTTCTTTAATTTTCTTGTAATTGAGAACCTCGATATATTTAGATGTGCGCCAACAGAGCCGTGTAAACTAACGGTTTTAAATGCCGACATGGTCTTGTTTTGCTTTAATATTCTCGTCCTCCTAATATTTCTTTTAAAACTCATTCGTAATTAAAGGGAAGCAAATGGATTCATAGAAATTGACCTCTTTTTTGTAGACTAAATGTTGTGTAGTAGTAAGTAATGGTTAACGAAAATATAAAATTTCGCGCTGTGTCTCTAAATCAATTTTTTATTTTCTTTTATATGCTGTTTTCAGAAAATGAAAACCCCTAATATAAATTAAACACAATTTTAACCAGGCAATTAGAATTTCTATGGCAGTGGTCGGACAATTGCTGCTCTCGAGCCGCATGCGGCTCTTCAGTGACCTTTTTGTGCGGCTCGGCCAGTCGGCCCAACATCGGTCTTGACACCAAAAATCCTCCTTTTTAAACAGATTCTTGAAACGAAATTTCGCTCTTAAAATAGTTTTAATTTTCCTGCTGCTGATTTTTGGCTAATTTTACTTATGAGGTTGCAACCACTGTTCTAGGGTTTGGGTCACCTACTAGAAAGTCAAATTTTTAGTAATGAACAATGTCAAAACTCTGTACTTTTTAGCATCTACAGAGTTTCGTGTAATAATAATAATAAAAGAATAATGATGCAAGAAGTACCGTCCCCTCCAATCATATCTATTGAGGGTCATAATCTTTCGGTTGTTGAGCATTTCACCTACCTTGGATCAAATATTTCTAGTTCTCTCTCCATTGATGAAGAGATTAATATCAGATTTGCAAAAGCAGCAGCAAATATGGCTAAACTAAATAATCGGGTGTGGAATAATCTCAATCTAACAAATAAAACAAATAAAAGTGTCTATCAGGCATGTGTGCTTAGTATGGTAGAGAAGTAAGGACCACATATATACCAGTCAGGCGTGGAAACTCAAAAGCTTCCACCAAAGATGTCTGCGTCACATTTCACTCTTCGATGGCAGGACAAGGTGCCTAACACGGAGGTTTTGGAGCGTGCACACATGTTTACCATATTCTCCTTTCTTAGCAAGAGGCGCCTTCGCTTGTTAGGCCATGTAAGGAGAATGGGGGAAGGCCGTATCGCAAAGATGCTGCTGTATGGAGAGTTGGCAGAAGGGACAAGACTTATCAAATGGCCACGCCTCAGATTTATGGATGTTTGAAAAAGGAGAATGAGGGAAGCGAACGTTGAAAACATCGAATGGGAACTCATTGCTGAACAACGTTCCAGCTGGCGATCAACAGTGTATGAAGGAGTAAAAAAGACAGAAATTACGCGAAACGAGGCCCCTGCAACACAAAGAACCATTACGGAATTCAACATCTTATCAAGCATCAATAGTCTCCTGCAAGAGATGTGGTCGAGATTGTCATTCTAGGATTGGCCTTGTGAGCCAGGCGTCGAAGTGTAGGACTATATAGCTACTCCATCGTCTCACGAAGACGGAAGGTTGCCATATATAGTAATGGTTGAGAAGTTTGTACAAGTTGTAATTTATTGAATTTGTAACCACTTTTTGGAATCCTATGCGGCCCAGTGTCACTCATACTCTACCTCATGTGGCCCCCGGATAATTTGAGTTCTAGACCCCTGCTCTAAGGAGCCTCTTGCTTCCTAGTAGCTTTTGTTGGTTGAAATGATAACGGCTGTCAGCTGTTATCATTAAATTCCCCTCTGACATTATGTCATTGAGCTAATTGATAGATATTTGAAAGTAGCTACTCGTTTAAATGTTTTGGATGTTTATATTGATATCCTAGTCTGCTTGTTTCGTGACATAATCATATATTTTGTCTTCCCTTTATTTGCCTCAATACCAGATTTGACCAACACATCTTCAAGTTCCTTGAATGCTTTAATTATGTCAGTTATGTTTCAAACCAAGTAGCGCTATATCGTCTGTTTATGGCAGGTATTGAAGTGGTTAGCTTTATAATGTCCCTGATGGTTTTTGTTCAGTACTACCTCTATGGTTCCACTGGTTCTCATATGTATCTTTATAATACCTTTTTCTAACGTAATGTTTAAAAGAATACATGATTTTTTTTTTAGTGTGAGGCCTCGATTAATTTGGACCTGCCTCATTTTTCTCTCCCTGTACTTTGATTCTACTTTTGGAGTTAGCATCTTCATATGTATGCACATGTTGAGTATGTTAGAGACTCAAAGTTCCTGTAGATCATCTTTTAGGTATTTACTGTCTACGCTATCACAATCTCTTTTGTAGTACACATATAGTAGGTGTATGTTGATGTTATATTCAGATCATTTCTCAAGAAGAATCTAAGAGTAAAAATATGAAAGTCTGAAATATCCCTTCGCACATTGGCTGAAGGTAACGTTGAATTTAAATATGCACCAACATTTACCTTTTTCGACGTCATTGGTGTGAGTGTGTGGATTAAGTTGACATATTTATTCCGCCCCCCCCCCAAAAAAAACAACAAACAAACACTGAAACCCGTTATTTTCATCTGTTAATACAATAAAACCTATTAGTTGCCCCGCCAGTCTAGCGCCCGGAGACATATGACCCTAAGCCCAACTTAGCTACGCCCCTTTCCCCTGACACTGCCCCCCTCCCAAAAATCTGAAATGACCCTTCCCCACTCCCCAGGAGGAAATTGTCTAAAATAAACGCTGGTCTTATACAACTGATCTCATTTCCTGAGTGGCCTACTTTACAATAAAAGAGCTCCTGTTAATGTGAATTTATGGGGTGCATTCACCTGTGAATCCTGTAACAGGATGTAAAATCCAGTATCAACGTTGGCGGCCTTGAGCCTAAGCTTAAAGGTAAGAAAGGTTTCAATTTACGCTTGACACATTTTTGTGAAATAGTATGATGTGTAATTTGTAAGAAGTATCACATTTCCTTTTTTTTTTTTTTTGTAATATGAGCAATAACACAATTGAATTATAAACATTTGCTCGTATTTTTGTTAGTGGGTGGTTCATGTACACATTATAGTTGAGCTTTGTGTTATAAAGAACATAGCAGGCACTATTTCATAATGATTCAATAATATGGAGGACTTAACGTGAATGTTGAAATTGATTGTTAAGATGTCTGCTTGAGAAAGGGAATCATTGAGAATCCCACCACGCGGTCTCCTGTTAGGGATATTATGTCGTGTTATGTTGTAGTCGCCAAAATATTCAGAATTAGAAATATGATAAGTTAGAATCATCGTTTGAAAACAAAATATAAAATATATATTTCTTTGTAACACGATACTGGTGGTATCATCGGTTTACACCTCTTCTCCATTATGATTGAGATTTATTTATTTATTTTGTCTTGCGGTATCTCTAATAACGTGGAGCTACCATTCTCCCTTCATTGTAATTGTGGTGTGTACTAACTTTTGACAATACGTTTAAAAATATTTTGTGAGTGTCTTATTTTTAGAGCTAACTCCATGAAACATGTGAATCACTTGTGCTATTCTGTGTAGTTTCTAACTATCCAATAATATTTCTCGTAATTCACAACATTTTGTATTATTATCGAAATGACAATTTAGAACTTTCATCTCATCCCATTTATGTCTGATTACAGACTTATTAATCCTTAAAGTTTAACGGCGAATTTAAATATGTGCTTGTTCTTTATAAATTATTTGTTTTTTGATTTATTTGTTTTTTATACATCTTTTGTTTAGCAATCGTCATAAATGACGGAACCCCCTATAAACCTCTAGAGTCGAATGTTCTATTTAAAAAAAAAATAAAAACTGAGCTATTCATCTTTCAGGTGATCAATACATTGATCGTGGGCCCTTAAGATACAAAAGAAGACATGTAAACCTTTTTTGTAACGATTTCTGTCAGTGAACTGATAATGTACTTTTGAACGATAACTCATTCATAATGTACTATTATGTACTAACATTGACGTTGTTGTTGGATATGCTCGTCAATGTAGCATAGATGGCTCAGCACCGGAATATCTCAAGGAAATGATTGATAAACATGTATCCTTGAAGAGCCTGCAGTCTTCAACACAGTACTTACTGAGTGTTCCTAGTGTGGATGGACACAGAAAAAAGTCTTACGGAGTGCGCTCTTTTGTATCGATAGCGCCACAATTATGGAACCATTTGCCTCAATCTTTGAGGGGAATTGAAATGATAAAAAATCATTTAAGAAACAATTAAGAACTTTTTTTGTTTAAATAGATTTCGGAGAACCAGAGCGCGGTGAGCATGCTAAAATGACATGGATACCAGCGCAATAAAAATATCAAAATCAATCAATTTCAGTTCCTTAATAATATTCATTACATAAGCATTAAATTTTTGGTCCTATTTTCGTATGCATTAATATTGCTGATAGGAATGATAACACCATAGACTTGACAGATTCATATTAATATTATATAAACGCTGTAAAACGGAATAAATGCAACAAAATCATACAATGAAATGTTTGACATATTACATTAAAACTTAAAATTTTTATTATTTTTAACGTTGACTGATATACTCCTCATTTGATATCTTATTAAAATGCTAGCAATACTAAACTTTATACATACTAAAAAGTGAATATATTTTTTTTAATTTCAAAAACAGCTATTTATTCTCAATTAAGATCATTCAAATATCATCACTAACATTTACTAAGCAAAGTGAAATATTTTGATAAGATTTGAACATTACTATGAAACATAAAACTTATGTACCATGAAAATGCTCAAACATTAAAGATCTAAAGAAATTGTTTTATATTTCTATGGAAAATATAAACATCATAACAATCATTTCAGCAGTGAGCAAAGTGAAACTTAACAGTTATCGTAACACTTAACGGGAACAAGTTTTAGTTGCGAAAATTTTGAAATTATAATGACCACATTTGTAATAGTAATGATAGTGATATATTTTCTATTTTAATGATACGCATTCATCGAGGGTTACAAGTAAATTAATTTTCTTTGATCAAATTTTATCTCACACAAAGCATAAAAAATGAAGCATAAGAAAAGTTAAAATAATATTGAAAAATTATTTTTTTCTAAAACAATAATATTTTTGGTCATATACATCGCTATGTTAAATAAATTTAGCAATATAATCTTAAACTAGTTAAAACTTATTCGTATTTAATAGAGCACCATTCTAACATAAAATTAATTAGACACAAGCTTAAAAAAAGAAAAAGATCTTTGTTTCAATAAAGTGTATGTAAATTTCTACAACTAAGAAAAAATGTACGCATGTGCAGAAATCTTTTTTCCTTAAATAAAAGTTTGGCCAACTTCTGCACTGCTTCATGTTTGATGTTATTTGTTGAGTGTTAATGAATTTTTTTTAAAGAATTAAAACAAACTGTTAATGTTACAAATATTTTTTCTTAATGTTTCTAAAAACTTAATCTAAATAAACGGGCAATCATTGACATGCTATAATTATTTCAATTTCTAATAACATACAATACAATTTAAAGGTATAATTTCGTTTTTTTTTTAAAATTTGCATATTATTCTTTTTAGTGCAATTTTCTCACTGGTTTAATCACCTGGGCATATACATCATTGGAGGCACCATTCACTTGCCCAACATTGTCACCTAAATTTAAACTTGATGTATTGCCTCTGTTGTTATGATAGTTAGAGATTGCACCTAGAGATTTGTGCCCCTTCTTGTTGCTAACTGTGGGCATTATGTTATACGTGTCAGAGAATGATCTTGTCTTTTCACCGAGTGTAGAATAAGTGTTTCCGCTGTAGTGAGCCGGCTCACTAGTGTATATACCACCATTATTGGCTGCATCATTGTTAATTTCATTGATTACTTCATTAATAGACGAATAATCCACATATGATCCGCTAAAAGCTGGATTTGAGAATTCATTTGGTTTAAATTGCCGTTGTTTTGTCTTGATGTTAGTTAACATATCATCTTTTTCTAAAGCTTCAATTGCATTACTGTCTACACAGCAGTTTGTAGCAATGTTAGCGTTAACATTATTACAACCACATGTCTCAGTACCGTTAAAATTTGCAATAAGTTTATTTACGCATTTAACTTTTGCTAAATCTGTTACGTATGTTTTCTGGTCAACTTCATCTGTATGATTGTTTTGTTTTTTCTTATTACTACCGTTCTTTTTATCGTCATCAGCACTGTGTTCCTTCTGTTTGCTATTTTTTAGTTGACTTCCTTTTTGTCTCATTTTTAAACACACTAAACACAAAATGATCACAATGATGATGAGTGCTCCACCTCCAACACTGGCGCCAACTATCACAGGTAAGGAATCATCAGGTGAAGTTTTTTTAGAATTGTCTGGAGACGATGTTGAAGAGCGAGTTGACATAAAGGTTGAATCTAAGGTTGATGTTTGATAAGGTATTGTATTTTGACACTCAGCTTTATTTGGAATTTTTACAATTTGCGTATCATATGTAATTAAAATACTTTGAATAGGATAAGCTGGACACATTGTAACACACTTGTCTGGACATTTTGATGACGCGTTTGCACTAAGAGACATCCTTAATACATTATAATCGTAACATTTTGTAATATCTTGAAGCCGTATGCATTGAAAAACTGTAAGCGTAGAAGTGCAAGTAAATTCCTTTAAAAAAATTGTTCTGTCCACGTTCGACGACATAAAAGTTGTACTGCTGTAATTGAACACAGATCCATTATCTCTGTCATGTGTTATAGAATATGAGTATGTATTGCTGTCACACAGCACCGACGAAAGCCTGAGATAAACACATTTATTTTATGAACTTTTCAAATATTATAATCATATTTCTTACCTATATTTTTAGGTTTATTTCATAATTACGCTACATATTATCAAGTAAATTGTTAATGATTATTAGTAATTTTATAGGGTAACTTTTAACTTAATTCTTAAAATTGACTTTGAAATGATAACATTGATGCTTCAATTTTAATGAATATTTTATGATTTGTAACGTTATTTAAATGGACACTTACCATAAAAACTGCTGTTGAGAAGCATTCATAAATCGAGTGTAATTACTTTGATTTGAATCGATAATTTGCAAAACAATATCAACAAATTTGCCTTGAACACTATATTTTCTACTTAAATGTATACTAAGTGCTAAGGTTAAAAAAATACTTTTATAATCCATTTCTTAATGAACCTATTTAAAATGTTTTCTTTAGTAGTAGATCGTCAGAGGAAGATAACATTTGTGTCTCTCATAGTCACTGAATAAATATAATATTTAATTATTCCTTTCCTTCTGCGTTAATTCCTAAAAAAAAATCATTAAAATACGACTTTTTGGGCTCTTGTGTGGATTGATATATTTCATGCATATTACACACTACACACATTTGTATCAACAGGAAGTAAACTATTCATTATTTTAAAAAAAAAAACCAGCCTAGAATAAAGTAATAAGAATAGAGTAAATATAACCCGCCGAACCAGTTTTTATTTAGAATATGAAAACTTGTGAGACAGTACTCGATTTGGACCTTTCGTTGACGTTAACAGTTGAAATTCCCCCTCCCCCCCCCTGGTATTTCTTGACAGATGCAAAGGCGGCGAACACACGTGTGGCACTTTGGAGTTGATATATAGGTTGTCTTAAAACTAAAGAGTTCTTTTTTTTCAACAATTGTGGTCGCTAATTACAGACTCCAAACAAAATTTAGTTATTGTTAATTTAATTTAGCTCTATACATCACTGCTGTCATCTAAACCCTCCATTTGATTAATACCGTCATAGGAAAATCATCTGTTTGTATTTGTATCTGATTTTGTTCTTATTTCATTCAATTATATACTTTGTTACATAGGGAGATTACTGGCAGCATGGCCGTTCGAAGTGATTGTGTCAAATGAAGGACATTGTTGTCTACTACGCAAAGGATGTTCTTCACTTGTTTTGTTTTACCTTAATGTTTTTCATCATATTTCTTTAATTTGGTCTTAATAAAACAAACAAATTATAATGATTTATAGAAAGTGGCCAATTATTTTAGAGGATCAATGTCGAAGAGTAGTGAGTAATAATTAATAGGAACTTAAATTATGCGTCAGGCTCTAAATATATTAATTAATATGCTCTTGATGGAAAATGTCATCCCTCAGATAAATACAACATAGTATTATCGGACAGACTGCCTTTGGCTTCTAAGTTTTCTGGGGTTTAGGGTAACGCTTTATTGAGCTAAAGAAACAATAACATTAATAACAAACAACAGAGTCCAAATTCTGTACTAAGAATCTCAGCTTCAACAGATCTAATGTATAGTAATAAATATACGTGGCGTTTAAATTTATGTTTAAATTTAAGGCCTACTTTGGTTACAACCGGCTTCGGTAGACCAGGTCTTCTTTTTATCTGCTATACGACAAGAAACTTTCTTGAGGGATGTCTGCTAACTTAAAAATTGTACGTTTTAGTTTCTTATGATTCCTAAAACAAATTGACTAATTTCGCATTTATTATTTGCGAGCTCTGTTAACTGAACTTCGTAGGTTAATTAAATATCTATATATATAATTCGCCAGAAGAAGTAGGGCAAACAACAAGTCGACCAAGACGACGAAGGCTTTATATATATATATATATANATATATAGATACGCCAGAGCAAGCAAGACGCAGGCAAACTCTCCCTTCCCTTCCCTTACCTGCCCATCGTTGGTCTCCAGACATGCACACTGTGGTGGAGCTACCGCGCCCATCCTGCACCACCCTGGCTGCCAGCCAGCTCGCGGCATCTGCTAAGCCGCGGTTGGGCGTGAAATAAAAAGGTTGCAGTGAAGTATTATGAAAAAAGGGGGGGTGAAGGGGTGTAGAAGCATTGGCACTCTTAAATGTGCGTAACTTGAGTTCACGTTTTTGTCAAGCAACTTTAGCAGATGGAAAGTTCTCGCATTGCTACCGCCAATGTTTGGCGGGCTATAACTAGTTTTAATATAAATTATTTCACAGCTTTTTATCATTGTAGTTTAACTAATTTGAACTGATGAGTCAGCCGGATATGAAATTTAAAAAATCAACACTAAAAATACAATTCAGTTTCTTTGAAGATGAGTTCAGACAAACAATTGAAACACAAAGAACACAATTTTCCGAAAAATGACATGTTGAACTTTAATTCATTCTTTTACTAATATCATCAAAAGTTTTGTAAGTATCACTTTTTAGAAATCGGAAAAAATGAGACTCCTATGTTAACTTAATGTAATATAAAGCAATAAACAAAACAAAAAATTAAAAAAATTAAAAAGGTTACAAAATTTAATCCTGAAATTGCGCGATCCAAATAAATAAAAGTTGATGGGAGTTACATATTGTGAGTATGTAACTGTCAAACGTTTAGTTCGTTTTTCAGGGCACTGATAAAAAGTACTATTTTTTATAAACATTAAAAATGAAAAAGAATTAAAAATGGAAATAAAACAGCTTAACGAAAATATTTAAAAAACAACAACAAACAAATGCTTTTTTTGTATTGAATTAAATATATATATATATATATATATCAGTTTTTAAATTGAAATTTCAATATTTATAAATCAAGAGAGATATAATCACACTCATCTTTCCAACTCCCTCACAAATTCATCACTCAGTATTAATCAATAATGTTCAAATAATATCTTTGCCCTCTCTTCGGATTTTCTATTAAAAAAAAATCATACAATTGGCTATTGTCTTAATTGCTTTGCTTAGCATTATTTGTATCGTTAACATACAGCGTTGTTGATTGTGACAATAGTTTGGAAGTTCAGGAACGCGAAGATTTTAATAGCCAATGTTTTAACAACATCAATAAGTACACCTTGGTCGGCATTAATTAGCGTATCTGAATTATAATGTTTTGTCTCATTTTGTGAAATGATTGACCAGAAAGATTTTATGAAATCACACATTTTTAAAACAAAATCTCTTTTGTTAAAAACATACAATAACAATACATTGTCTAATTTTTATAACAATGATTGAAAATATAATGCACTGATCGTTAGAAGATTGAACACTCTCAAATTACTCTATTTTTAAACAGATTCAAGGAGTGTTAAATATTCTATTACAAAATGCTAATAAAATATGCCCAACTCTTTTCACATGTTTAAGCGGGTATTAATAACCTGCAAACATTTTCACATTAATGTGCATGTCAATTTGTATACTCTAAAGTGGCCTATATTTTAAGTTATATTTATATTATATTATATGACATTCCTAATTATTTATGCTTAATACGCATATAATAATATTTATTTCAACACAGAAATACAATAATAATGTATACTTAGCAGTAACAAAACTTGTTTATTATCATGTATTATAGAAACATTTTTCATAATTATCAATTAGGCTTAAGATATACATTTTCTGTTGTCTGATTCAGATTTAGTGAGCCATAATTATTCGTGTTTCGCGCCGACGACATGTCATCGAAGTTCCTTGAAGATGATTTCGGGGTTTTCAGATGATCTATTGAATTTTCATAAAACACAGATCCATTGTTTATGGCATAATTGGATGGCTGAGCACTATGTGTATCGTTTACATACAGTGTTGTCGATTGTGATGAAACCTTGGGAGTCGAAGGAACAACGTCACATCTCTGCTGATACTTGGGAATAGCTTGCACTTTTGTCATCATTGTTAGTATTGGACAAAATCCTAATAGCATCTGAATCATTATTTTTTTAACATTTTTTATTTTCTCTAGCACTATTTCTATAGTTATTCCATTTCTCTTGACATTTAAACTTCTTTTTGAAGACCAATAAAGCTATTGTTATAAGAAGAATGAAAATTACAATAGCCAATATTATGACAACATAAACAGGGACACCTTGATCGGAATTATTTGACGTATTTGAAATATAAACTTTCGTCTCAATTTTGGAAAAGATTGTAGATGTTTTATTAGGCTGATGATTCACTGGATTTTAAGGTTGATGTTTGGTCCGGCATTGCATTAGGACACTCTGCATTATTGGGAATTTTAAAAGTTTACATATCATATTTAAATAAAATACTTTGAATAGGATAAACTGCCCAAAATCTAACACATTTTTCTGTACAATTTAATGACGTATTTGTGCTAAGATACATCCATGATATCTTCTTATCGTCACATATTTTAATATCTTGAAGCCGTGTGCATTGAAATATTGTAGGTTTAGAAGCGCAAACAAACTTCTTTAGATGCATCTTATTATCTACGTCATGTGCCATAAAAGTTGTACTGCTGTTACTGACAACAGATCCATTGTCTCTGTCTTATGTTATAGAATAGGAAAATGTTTGGTTGTCACGCAGCCCTGAGGAAAGCCTGACATTAACAAGTTTATTTTATTATCAACTTTTAAAATATGTGCATGTATTCATTTGTTATTCTATTATTGTTTTGCAGTTTATTTCATAATTATGCTAAATAAAGTTTTATTTTAAAAATATTTTGTATTTTATTAATTGAACCTTATTGATTCAAGGGATTATACAATTTTAGAAATGATAACTTTGATGCAACTATGTTAATACATTTTTTATGATTTATAATATTAGTTCAATCAAAACTTACCATAAAAACTGTTGTTGGGTAACATTGATGAATCGAGTTTAATTACTTTGATTTGAATAGTTTAATTGCAAAACAATATCAACAAATTCGCCTTGAACTCTATATTTTCTACTTAAAACCATGCAAAGTGCTAGATTTAAGAAAATAATTTTAAAATCCATGACTTAAGGAAATATTTAACAATTTTTGCTTTAATAAATTAATTTCACAGTTCCAAAAAATATATAATTTATAGTAACTTCCGAAAAAAAATCTCTAAAATATTCTAGTCTCTGACTTACTTGTTTGGTTTGGTTTCTATGTTCTTACATTTTTGTGAACACATCAAAGCATTTAGTACCAGGAAGTAATGTGAAACATGAAGTAAAACTCTTTTACAATGACAGACTAAATGGAGCCCATCAGACGAGTCTTTCTTAAGCGTTTGAAGGCATGTGACACACTTGGTTACCTGTTTACATAGGCCATACAAACATGGGATACCTTTAAAGTCACTAGAGCGAATGATTTCTCAGAGCACTAACTTCTCTTATTATGATATGCTATAAATGTATAACATTTTTAATAGTATGTCAGGACTTTGGGGTATGTCATTGAACTGATTGATTGCTCAGTAATAAATAGAAACAAGTTTTAAATAATGTTTTTTTTTTAAATTTATTATTTTTTTTATCAAATTTTACTTTAATGTTAGTGAGGAGTATACCATTAAAAAGCTAGCTAATATTGTAGGTTGTAAGTGTAATATAGGGATGACTGTGTTCATGTTAAAGCAATATAAACTGTAACATACAGAGAAAACATGACAGATCAAAATACTTAAGTACGGACATTTCTCCTAAAAAATATTCATCTTTTGAACTCACCTTTTGAGTTAGATCCTTACAACGGACACATCTTCTCCAGCTACACATTTTTCACTAACAACACTGTCTTCCCTAACAACTAAATCGTTCATTCTGACCATTTGGCCAACGTTTTCTCACAGAATAGTTCTATTTCGAATAAAAACAACAATACTTATAATAGTCCATTGTGATGCGGTGCTCGCGAATTTAATTTTTTCTCTAAGAGCTTCCAATGTTTCGTGCATTATAAGACATCCTATATAGGGTTCCAAATAGTTACAAATTTGAAAATTTAAATCAGGAACTGAGTACGACGTATATGATCTTCAGGATTATCCAACATTTTTTAAACACCAAATTAAAGTGGATTCACGTTTAGCAAACATTAACTGTAGTTCCACCATTGTGTCTCCTTTGTTTTGAATGCAAGTTGATAATTATTGGTATTAGAGCTATACAAACTATTAACACAAATAAATGATATTTTTGACATTGTGTTTTCTTGTAAATTTATTATTCCAAATAGATACAAGTGTTTCCATATCTAAAATGTTTATAAATTTTCTTTCTGGCCTACCTTACATATTAAAATGTATTTGACCCTCTTTTAAAGGTAGTCATCGAATCATATGTATCATTAAAGCTATACAATACAACACTTTGACAAGAAAATTTGTAAAATTCACTATTTTTGACCCATAATATATCCTTATGAAACAATTGTAGTGTACCTTTTAAACAATATTTTAGAATTTTTTTTATATTTAAAATTTCATTGAGCCCTATATTTCATAATTTAAATGAATTTTTTTTTTTTTTTTTTTTATTGTTTTGTTGTGCACTTACCAGTCAAAAGTGTACCGAGTTTCAGCTCAATGTGAGATCAGAAAGGGTGTCAAAAATCAAGATTCGAGGGTAATTTTTTTTTTTATTTAATATTTTTTTGCTTCTTTTATTTTTTTTTTTAAATGAATTTTTTTTTTTTTTTTTTTATTGTTTTGTTGTGCACTTACCAGTCAAAAGTGTACCGAGTTTCAGCTCAATGTGAGATCAGAAAGGGTGTCAAAAATCAAGATTCGAGGGTAAGTGGAGATTTAACGGGGCCGTATTGTCATTCTTTTAATTCTGCTCCTTTTAAGTTTATTACAGGGTTCTAAGGCACATGTGTAAAACTAAAGGCCCGCGGGCCAGATACGGCCCGCCGTACAGTTATTTCATGAGGTCTTGACCGGCGTACAAATAAAACCAAGTCAACGCTTTTGTGCTTCTCAGTGCACACTTTGATGAAAAACTTAGCTTACTTCGCAACGAGTTCGCAAGGCGCTTTAGTGATTTTGAACCCCAGAAATTACTTCGAATTGTTTCGTAGGACTTGTTTTTATAGCCACGATAATGTGCCAAACACCTAGCTCTAACAAACTGGCATAAGAACAAAATTAGGAATGCCAATGATTTTGAATTGTTAATTTTTTTTTCATTTATATAAAGGTTTAAAAAAATATATATCTTAATTTTCCGCTTATTGAATGTTTATCCTGTTTGGCCCGCAACCTAACATGTGATTTGAGTTTTGGCCCGCCAAGCGATTGTGTTTGACACCCCTGTACTAAGGCTAGCCGCCCCCCGTTCCACCTCTAATTTTGTCTGGTTTGATTCAAAATTACGTTTGCAACATTAAATTTGAAATTTAATTTAGATAATTAACTTTAAAAATAAACCAGCTTGTACAAATATTGTGTTATTCAAACCACTGTTAATCAATGCCAACACTTTGTAATTCTGTAATACGTATTTGCATCTAATTCCAGAACAAAGACACGATTTATGGATGACTACCTGACATGTAGGCATTTGAGAGCCAAGAGGTAGATGGCTCTAGGCTAGAACTAGAACAAATAATAGAGTCACGAATATACATCAGCTGGCGGCTTAAGGGCCATTCATTATTAAAGAGGAAAGTTTGCGAAGATGTAATTCATCTACCTCAGTTAGTTACAGGTTTTAATGCAATAATGTTTTGATATGATATTGTGTGTCATTTATTTATATTTGTCTCATTTTCTATTTAGATTTAAAAGGATACGTAAATTTGAATATTTGCATATTCCTCCATCATATTAATTTTCGAGAAAAACAATAACAAAAATACGACACCTAAAACAATTGTCAATTACAATTAATAAGATTTAATTTAGTATTAATATTATTACAAACAAAAGAAATATACTTACAAATAATCAACTTACAGTATAGTAGATCTTGTACCGGTACACAGTTAATACAGTTAGTACATGTAACAATGAATAATGATTATGATCAATGCGAATAAGCACATATAAGTACACAAAGAATAATACACGTCTCGTGATGGTAAAATATCTATCAATCTCCGTCTACCTCTGTGCCAGTCAAACCCTTATATATGTGGGTCTACCGATGCGTCTAGAAACACCCTTACTTTTCTAATACAATCGAGAACCTTCGATAAGATACTAGTTGACATACTAACAATGTTTATTTGGAAGTCGGTAGTAAACAAGATACTTCAAAGACGAAGCCACTCCCACAACAAACGCTACCGTCTGCTAGGGATCTAATGTGGGGTGAAATAAAGTTCAAGTACAGGAAAAAAGTGTAATACATAACATATGACCTTCTACAAATGACAATTACGATCATGACAGTTATCTTGTATAAGGTTTATGGTTTTACACGTAATCATTATAATAAATGATAGTTTTGTATTTTATTATTTTCCTGTTAATGGAAATACCTGTACTATTGTCATGCAAAGACTCTATACCTTTCTCCCAGCTTCTCTAGACTACTGCGTCTCTGCCAAATTGATGAGGAATTTCTAGAAAGAGCTGGTGAAATGATGTATTTCTTACGCTCCAGATCCTATCCTGAAACTACTCTTGTCTCAGCACTAGATCACATCAGCACGATCACACGAAAAGAGGCTTTCAAAACTCGCCAAAACAACAATGAAGATCGTATCAAACTTATACTAGCCTACCACCCTCACAATTTAACTGCCAAAAAAATATTCCTAAAAAATCGTAGCATGCTTCTTGCTGACCCTAATACCAACAGGGTTTTCTCCTCCCCTCCACGGATTGTCTTTAGGTGATCTTCTGGTTCATAGTCGCCTTCGATCTGAACCGTCTTACGTTGGTACTAAACCATGCTTAAGAAGCCGCTGCAGGAATTGTGCTTTTAAACTTTAAACTGAAAGCATTAGCCTCCCTAAAGGTACCTTGACCATAAAAGAGGGTTTTACCTGTGTCAGCCTTAATGTAATATATGCGATTGTGTGCCGTAGATGCCAATCTAGTTACATTGGTGAAACTGAGAGAAGATTGGCTGATATGTTTACTGAACATTTAAGGGACATTGAGCAATGTAAGCCTTCCCCAGTCTCTTCTCATTTCAACAGAAAAGAACATAAAGGTGCATTGGATGTAACCATTGCGGCACTGATTTCATGCAGTAACACACTAGAGAGGGTTAAAATGGAAAATACATTTATTCAGCTGTTTAGCACCATATCTCCATATGGTATTAATCAAATAATATCCTACTGATGTTTCTTTGTTTCCCTATATTTCATCTATTTTCTTATTGCCGTGTGATGATGTGTCCCTTGATATTCTGGTCCATTGTTATTGTGGACTTTATTTTTCCTAGTGTCAATATTTATATTCTCTCGCTTCCTGTGTTCCCACTTCCGGTGACACGAATGGATACTTCTTGAGTGTCTACAGTGCTCCGGTCTTTGTTATATTTTCATTTCTACTACTGGCTGAGGAAGGCTTTATGCCGAAACGTCCTTTTTTTTTGTCCTGTTATCTTATTTCAAGCTTCCACATACTTCGTTTTGCTATTTCATTCATTTACTATTGTCTTCAATCTTTGATGAGTGGTTAAAATTAAATATTATTGTATAATTGTTCTCATAAATATTTTGGGCATATCTTATTCTCTAAAAACCCATAAAATATTCATGTAAGAATTCATTTTCTTTGTTAAAATTAAATTTTATTACTTTTTAAAAGATGTTAAAACTCTTTACGTTAGCTATAGCAGCTAACAGTTTTAACGCACAGTTTTTGGAAGCAGGTAATAAGAACAGGTAATTGAACGGCCAACAATACAGAATTAAACTAATTTTCTAGATTAGCCTCAATTAATCATGCTCTAAGTAATTCGAGAACCCGTGAGGAAGGGCAGAGGAAAAAATGTACGACTTCTTGATGGCGATAAATATAAAATGTGTTCCATAAATTAAATCACATCCCATGGATAACAGCTAGTTAATAAATATATTTTAAAAAAAAATTCTAATCGTAATAGTTACTGTTTTTAAAAGCATGTATTGACGATGTCTAAAATGTTTGTTGGATAAAGAATAAAATTCATTATGAACTCAACATTTGTGTTTATTCTTGGATAACTACATTAATTTAACCTTGACATGTTCACTCTGACAGTGTCACATAGGGCATGCTGGTGACAGGTTGTTGTCTCTTGATAACGTAACAGACACCTGACAGCTGCGTGTTTAATCCCTGCCAAATAACAAGCACCAAGAATATTCCGTGGCCTTGTGTATCGTGTGCAATGAGCCGCAACTGGAGAAATCTTAATGTGTTGATTTTGAAGCAAACAAGGTTAACTTACAGAATAGATCCCCCAACCCATTAACACGTTTTACCCTATTCAACAGTGTACCCAACAATACATTACATCCTGCTGTGTTAGCCTTGTATCTGCTGGCTCAACAAGTCCATGCATACCATTTTGATATCATTAATAAATAATAGTAAATTAAGTAAAATATGTTGTAACCTTGATATTTTAAAAACCTATTTACATAGTTCGTTCGTTTTATTTTTAACAACAAAACTATACGTACGAAATAGCAACATCTGGCTTTTTTGTTGTCATTACTTGAGCATACACGTCATTGGGTTCTTCTACTACAATAAAATCATCTGGTCCAGGTGAAATCCCCAAGGTATCTGGCATATTGTGTCTAGGGTTTGTTCCAGCATTTACATTCACATTCTCAGACACACTTTGTCTTAAATAATTATCACTGCCTGATGTTTCGTTATAGGGATTCTCAAACTCCCTAATACTATCTCCAAGCCTTGCGTAGATATTACTGATAGGTTTATCTATGCCACCTACATGTTCATATCCAGTGTCAATTTCATTTGAGTGTGAATGGCTTGTCGTTGTAGTGTTGCCATTTAACTTTCCATCAGATTTAGGGACGCTTACCTCTAAATAGTCAGTGTCCTTATCCGACATACTGGCCTCTAAATAGCCATTGTCCTTATCCAATGTAGTGGGTGAACCAGATAAGTTATTTTTATTGTTTTCTTCAGGTCGTAACTGTTCTATCCCAATCTCACAATAACCTTGATCCGTCAGTAAATTATTTTTTTTCTTCGTATTATGTTTATTGTTATTGTGTGTAGCATCGTTGCCCGCAGTGTTGCCATTATCTAAGACATCTAAGTCAATGCCAGAAAGTTTATTCAGGTCTCTACCATAAATAGAATCACCACGTGTTGTCTTATCGGAGCCGTCATAAATACGTATTTCATTTCCAACGTTCGGATCCTCGGCGGACGTCCTTTGTATAGTATTCCTACGCTTTGAAGTCCTCCTCTTCATACAAACAACGATCATGCCGATGATGAAGATTATTAAGATACCAAGACTTGTGCCTAGGCCAGCAATTAATGGAATGAATTTTGTGACATTAGTTTTAGTTGGTTGGTGTATAATCACGGTTGATTTATCTGAGTCGGGTTTAGTTGGCTGATTTGTAATTTGGGATGTCGCAGAACTACTAAGTGTAGGCGTTGATGTTTTGGATAGTGTAGATAGAGTTGTTGGTATTTCTGTAGTTGTAGAATTTGTTGGTCTCGGGCAAGCTGATTCCTGAATTGTTGTAATATTTTCTTGATAGGTAGCATTAATTGTTTCGTTGACATTAACTGAACATATTCCAGCACATTGTTTAAGTGAAGTCATGTTCAAGTAAAATACAGTCCATGATTTATTATCATCACATGAGCTATTTCTTCCCATTCGTTGGCATTCAAAACTAGTTGAGCCCACCAGACTGCACTCAAATGAATCCCCATACTCAGTGATGTTAAGATCAGAGCAGGTCGTACTTGTTACGGTTATATTGGGAATTTCAAATAAGTAACTAAACTTGCAAAAAGGTGGTGAATCAGCTACACTTATTTTAGAAAAGAATCTGTCCAAAAAGAAATAAAACTTATTTTTTATCGAACTACAATAAATAATTTAATAACTAAATGAAGCCACCGTATTTCTTTTGATAGCCATTTTAAAATATATTAGAGAAGGATTACATTATTCGAGCAACTATAAAAAAAATATATTAAAATATGTAAATATTACCATTAAAGAAGTTTTTTGAAAATCATCATAATAATATTGCAAAAAATATATATAAATATACATTACATGAATATATATACCTATGAATGGTTTGTTTGTTTTTTTTTCTTCAATATAGAAAAGATTAAATAACTCTTTAGTATTCCTGTAAATTATTATTAAATTGAAATGCATAGAAACTATATTAAAAATTAATTAAAATTGGCTAAAATGTATGCTGAGAAGTGTATATTCTAAAGTAGTGATATCAACAGGTTTTCCGTTTAGATAAAACCTATTATTTATTTTAAAAGTAGGCATGCCTTTAGTTGAAGTTAAATATATTGATGATGCCTTATATATATATGCATAAATATATATATAAATATATATATATATATATATATATATAAGTAAATACTATGATGGGTAATCTATTTATTACGTACGCTCTGAAAGGGGATGGGTTATTTTCGCTTTTGGAGATTTTAGACACGCTTGCCTAGGCCTGGGGGAGTGGGGTGTCTCTACAGAACGTATGTACATTTCTTTAGAAAAAGTACACAATAATCATCCTGAAATTCTGACAGTCTAAAAATAGCATATATATATATTTCGAATGCTGTAAAATATCAATCAATGGTTTGTAGGAGTTAATGACATGATTTTGTCATGTATCTTGACGAAAGAACTCGCTAGATTGTTATATCTCGCAACGTCCTTGGAATATTACCGCCCCTGTCTTTGTGGAGTATTGTAATTTTAAAGTTTAATTAACAATTAATGACGTATATAATCGCCAAACGGTCTGCGTTGTAAGCCCGTGACATGTTTTGCTGACTGTAGCGTCATTATTGTGTAAAGATAATTTGATTTTGTTTTCATGAGTGGTGGGTCGAAAGCTCAATGTACGTAAGCATTTAGGGGCTTCGTCAAAAATGTTCGCGTGAAACAGAGGGGAAGTAGGATGGCAAAAACTGGGACCTTTTTTGCAAAGGTGCTATAGGAATGGCCCCTAACTTAAAAAAATCATGACGAGACACAACTTTATCATTGTTATTTTTCTTTGCTTCAAGTATCACTATTTAAATTGACCAAAAATGTGCTTACGATATGTCTATACAATGAGTCATTCCAAAATGAATTCAATAGATTTATTATTATTATGTTTTAATTATTATTTTACATAAAGAAAACATCTTACCCAATATATCCATCATACGTGAAGCTGAAAGTTCTTGTGGCGGTGTCATTGTGTAATGTTATATCAACAAAGCCCCCATTCACAAACAATATTTGTAGAAGTGCTGAGCAAAGTAATAATAACATGACTGTTGATTTCTTGTTAACATGGGTTTGTGTCTGTACTTGGAAGAACATAATATGGCAGTTTTCTATACCTATTTTCGAAATAGAAATAAATACGTTGTTTAAAAAAGCAAAAACATTAACACTGATTTACGTTATAAGGATAGTAAAGCGAGAGTCGTTTACAGTCTGTTTAATAAAAAGCTAGAAGAAAACACAAAAGAAAGCAAACAAAATTTAGTCAGTGTTAATAATACGTTATGAAACAAGAGTTGACAGCCAACCACCAATCAAAATGCAACAACAAAATTTTTTTATTAAATCTTTTTAAAAAAGCGAAGATTTAATAAATGGGGCAAATTGTGAACTAAAACATGATTAAAACTTAACAAGTGACTTAAAAATAAAAATGATTACTTATTTATTTTTCAATTCTCTAAAAAAAAATCATAATATTTCAAACAGTTCGTATTTTCATAATTACATAAAAATACATTTAAAAAAAAGTAAACAATATATATATATAAAAGAAACTTAGAATACTTCATGGGTATACACACAGTTGCATCAATGAATATTGAAGGTTATAAGTTCAGCCGCAAGTAGAAAACAAATTATATAATTCAATTGTAAGTTCAGACGTGAGGATTTGTATGAAAGTGTTCTTTTTTTTAAAAGTAAGATACAACGTTTAATAGCTAGCTTTTTGTTGATGTTGATGCTTACCTAGAGTAGGATACTTGCATTGTTGTTAAACAGCTGCTGATATATCAACTTACCCGATTTTTAAGATAAGCCTACATGTCAGAGTATAACAGGAAGTAAGTTCAGGTGCACATAGATCGTCTCTGTACACAAAACTGGTCTGGGCACTTAAGGTGTGTGCCCTGTATTATAGACGAACACACCAATACAATAACGAACAAAGAAGACGGCATTTCAATAGAGTCAGCTATATAACACATTCGAAAATGTTATTGTATAACTAGCAACAAGCTAAAGACTTGTCAGTATCATATATAAATATCGATTCAGACGATTCATGCGAATAGCTTTCACTTTAGCAGAAATAACGTTCACTAGTTTGAAAACACTGACCTGACTTTATCATAACATGTTCAATTATACTATATATTAAACACATGTTATATGATATTAGTAAATAAGGTTTTGTGCTTAGAGTAGTAATTTCTTAGAGATCGAAATACATTTAATATCTCAGTGAATGACTATGAAGTGTAATTATTTATTGATCTAACTTTAGAAGGATTTACAATAAATATAAGATAATGTATTTACATTTCTTAAAGTTGGAACATTTTTTTTAAAAAAGTATCACATTTAACGGCACAATTGTAATAACCATGCATGTGAAAATGTTTTTTTTTTCCAATTCATTTCAGTTCGGTTTATATTGTCAGTAATTTAACAAGTATATGTATATGTATATATTTGGTGTGCTTTTCTAGTTGCTAATAATAGAAAATATACTAAGTATAGGATATAACTAGAATGATGTCATTTTGTTCAGCTTTCGACTATCACATACCTTTTTGAAACTTTGCTGGATGTTGCTGACTTGGTGTTATGTAGAGCTTGTTTACAACACTTTCCTGGTGCGTGCAATCTGGTTGACCCCACATGAGACGTACCTTCATAGATTGACGTGGCTTATTCTTTTGATCTGTCGTGTTTATTGCCGACAGCAGCTAAAAATAATTAATTTGTTCTCAGTGGGGTTTTGTCGAATGTTCGCGATTGTATTAGAAAAGTAAAGGCGTTTTCTAGACGCGTCGGTAGACCCACATATATAAGGGATTGACAGGCACGGAGATTCAGAGAGATTCAGATAGATATTATTAACTTTACGAGACGATTGTATTATTCGTTGTGTGCTCATATGTGTTTATTCGCATTGATCATTCATCATTATTAAATGGTACATTGTACTAACAACAGTGCACCGGTGCAAGATTTTCACATGTTCTGTAAGTTGATTTGTAATTATATTTCTTTTGTTTTGTAATTGAATTATTACTAAATGAAATCTTATTAATTGTAATTGGTACTGTTTTAGGTGTCGTATCTTTGTTATTGTATTTCTCTATGGTATCGTCCTTTGTTAGGCACTCTTTACAACAAGCCAATAGCCTGAGCTAAGAGATTAATTTCTCACAATAAAAGGCAGTGCGTAACACTTGGTTTCGGGAAAAAATCGAATTATTCATTGAATATATATTTAATTTCTACATATCTGCATATACATATATATTACTTACAAAGTACACAATATCAGTAGTTCTCAAACCTAAAGAGGGATTGATGAATTATCAGCTCGATACTGAAACTTAGACCATCATGATTAGTAGTTTTGGTTTTGATTTCAATATTAAATTTAATGAATAGTATCATGTGTCAAAGATTGCAATAGATACTTGATCAAGTAGAACAAATTTTATCTTTTTTTTATAAATTTTATAAATGTGATTTTTCACATCAAAAACCACTGAACCGGTCAAAAAAAAAATCAGGAATAAGCTGTGAGATGTTGACAGGTTAATGTACAAAAATAACGAACTTTCTTTAGTTTTTAGAAGGGCCTTCTTTAATCGGTCGATAGTTGAATTGTGATTTTGCACATTTGGCAACACAATCATTCAGATACATGGGCCATTAAGGCATGTGCCCTTCGCCTATTCGACACAGTCAAAATTTGTATCATTGATTGATAAGGAATTGCATGCGAACATTTTTATCACTCATAAGATCTTTTGGCATCAAAGGTTTATTTCGGGTGTTAAGAAACATGTACTGTAACATTTTTAACGCATATATTTAACAATACTTTTATCTCGAAGTGAGATTGCAGACATATGCGATTAAATAATGAAGACAGGAGCTTAAGTGAGTATTGATGACATTGTCGTTTTCATATTGATAACATTGTTTTCTTGTAAATATGACCATTTACTGTTTCTGTTATTAATTCTATTCAATCTCAACGTAGTCACCCTCGAGACGAGAAGGGTTAGATTGCCTGAAAGATTGGTCAACTTTATTATCCACAATACCAACAACATCCAGTCGATCTTCAACTTTTGGATTATATGCAGTTAAATTTGTGTTGGACCGGTGATATGATCCGTTTCGTCCAAGATCCTCACTTTCCAATGCAAGTTTTGAAAGGGTTGGCTTCAAATAACAGCCATCCTCTGATTTGGTATCTTTGGTCATGATGGTCAGGTGGTCGTATGAATGTCCTGCAGTGTTGAGAGAGATTCCGTCACGTGATAAATCACAAACCGTCTTATTAACGTAGATCACAGAGGAGTCGTTTTGAACATTCAAAGTTTGAACGTCACTTTCTTTCGCCTTTGTTTTTATATTCTTTCCTTTCTTGTTCTTTTTCTCGGCCATGTTAGTTACATTTTCATCTCCATCTGGATCTCTGTTTCTGCCATGTTTCTTTAAATAGAGGAACATCTTTATATGTGGCTTTACCGTCTTGGAATGTTTAGTTTGACTTGGGTGATGACTGGTCGTGGGGTTGTCGTCCTGGTAAGCGCTGTTGTAATCATCAGGCGCAGTGCACGGTTTTCGTTCATTAACTGTATTGGACACAGGTCTGTGAGACGAAGGGCGGTTAGCTCTTTTACGTAAACAGAAAATGATTACACATAGGAAGATAAAGGCCCATATCCCGTTGCTTACACACAGGCCAATGATCAGTGAAGTCTGAGATTACAATGCAGATAAAGCAACATTTGCTGTGGACAGAGAATCTGGTTCTGTTGACTGGCTTATAATGTGGAGTGGCACAGAACTGCTAGGTGTAGGTGTTGATGTTTTGGATAGTGTAGTTATACTTTTTGTTATTTCTGTAGCTGTGGAATATTTTGGTCTCGTGCAAGCTGATTCAGGAACCACTGTCATATTTACCAAGTAGAAAGTATTAATTGTTTCGTTAATATTAACTGAACATATTCCAGCACATTGTTTAAGTGAAGTCATGTTCATGTAAAGCACGGTCCATGATTTATTATTATCACATGAGCTATTTCTTCCCATTCGTTGGCATTCCAAAATAGTTGAGCCCTCCACACTGCACTCAAATGAATCCCCATACTCGGTGATGTTAAGATCAGGGCAGGTCGTGCTTGTTACGGTTATATTGGGCATTTCAAATAAGTAGCTAAACTTGCAAACAGGTGGTGAATCAGCTCCACTTATTTTAGAAAAAAATCTGTCGAAATAGAAATTAAAATTATTGTTTATTGAACTAAAATAAAATAACTTCAATACTTAAGTGCTTGAATTAATATACTTTAGATGAAACCTTGATATTTCTTTTAATAATTTTTTTATATGCAATATTTAAAGATTGTGTTATTCGTGAAAATATTTATAAGCTATTTAAATAAGACCATATCTTCATAAAAATATATTCAACTCTTTTGTTGAATATTCTTGTATATGAGGAAAGCATCTTACCCAATATATCCATAATACGTCAAGCTGAAAGTGCTTGTAAATTTGTCATTGTGTAATGTTATATCAACAAAGCCACCATTCACAAACAACATTAGTAGAAATGCTGAGCAAAGTAACAAAATCATGATTGATGAATTCCGGTTACCATCGGTATGTGTCTGTATTTGAAACAATGTATGGTAATTTTTTATACTTTACTTTCAAAATAATAATAATAATCTAAAGAAAATTCACACAAAGTTTTGCTTCTTAAAAAAATGATTGCCAGAATAGTTAACAACAAAAGGCTAAATGGAAAAAAAATGTGTTATCCTTAGGAAACAAAATCAACACTCCCCCCCCCCCCCAAAAAACTTTTGGTTCCCCCCCCCCAAGATACTTTAGGTTCTCTAGAGGCCTGATAACCCCTAGAGTCATGAGGCTCCCTAGAGACAAGTGCCCATGCCTTAAGACTGCCCAGGATTGCTAGCCTACCTTCTGTTCCAGCCATTTTTTATGTTCCCATCTAAACTCTTTTCACACCTAATTTATTTCTCACATGCCAAGTGTTCCCACCTCACTTATGTTTATATCTTAATTTCTGTTCCGCTTACTTGTTCTTAAGCTTCCCATTATTCCCTAGACTATCAAAACTCTTTTCTGTATAATATAAATAAACTATAACTTTCAATAGCAGTATAAACACAATTTTCTTTGTAGAAAGGGAAGAATTGAAATAATAATTTTCATGTCTTATTTATATCTTGTTTCTGTTGTGTCCTGCTTCCTCTTCTTAACCGGCCCCTTTCTCACCTCCACATGTTTTTTTTTATTAATAGTACTGAGTGAAAAAAGAGCTTGACGTGTGAACACAGGTATTGTTTGTTTGTTTTTTCTCTAGGAGGATATCACTACTTTATGAATTAACAAAAGCCACGGGTAATGTGTAGGACTGTCAATGGGTCAAACTGTAGTACTGTTATTTAAAGGCCGGTATATGCTATAGAAAATGAAAATTTAATTTTTTTTTTCTTAAACACCTGGACTCACGGGTAGTTTTATCAAAACTCCTGATACCGCAGTAAAAAAAAAACGACAACTGCACCCGGTTAAGCCCTAGTAAGAACAATTATTTTTTTTCCAAAACGCCGCAGATAAAACGATTCTGAGATTAAAAGAGCGCTATTTCATAAAATGTTTAAATGTAACAAAATAGACAAAATATAACTACATTATTTAACTTCAATGACTATACCAACGTAGTTAATATATCCAACGCAATTGAAAGTGATAAATACGGTAAAGTCGTTATGTCTTAATGTTAGATTCACAAAAAAAAATAATTCCATAATAAATATTCGGTGAAATATATTTGCTATAGAAAGTCCATTCATTTCTTGTTATATTTACAAAATGATCTATATATTTAAATAATATTGTAGCACAAATACAAAATTAGCGAAATAAAGAAAAATAAGAATAAACTAATGCTAATAAATATTGGATAATTTGTTATTTTTATTTTTAATTTTTTTTATTTATTTTTATAAGGACGTTGAGGGAAGTAAAGCATGTAGAGCGTAAGATCAATCTTTCATTAAGAAAATAATGCATCAATATCTAAAAAGATAACTCTACATTCAACACATCAATCATTATAAACGGGCTTGTTTGCCATCAAGTGGGTTTAATAATATATTTTTTAACAACACTGAGCAAAGCTGTAGGATGTAATAAAAAGCATACGTTGATGAAAGGTAATGTAATAGCTTGGTTATCGGTGATATTATACCGTATATCCTAACACTATTTTCAAATCTACTATACGAAAACTTATTGTAAGCTTCATGAAGTTGTTTCGTAAATTGTTTATTTAAAAATTTGTAAATTGCATTTCCTTTTGAATATTTTATTTGATATGTCCCTTTCATACTTACGATTTGCTTGTATTTTTTCCTCACTCATAGCAGGAAGTAAAATCTACACACTTAGCAAATATTGTATATGAATACATGGCGACGGGTTCAAAGGAAAAAAAACCCCAGTGATGTCAGTTTTTCGAAATTTGCAACTTATCTCCCCTGTGGCTCCATTCCATTCAAAAGAATAATTTGGCACATAGGACTAACTCAAAAAGCAGTGTAGTCAATAGATAAATATTTAGACATCTTGACATTTTTATAATTTCATGAGGAATTTTCAAACTGTTTATCAATTTTTCTCAAAACTCTATTTTTTCCCTTTAACCCTTCGTAGAGCTTTATAGAATTGTGTGGAAAATATATTCAGTAATCTGAGGTCAGCTTTACATGACAACGATCACTCATGCCTATAACTCGCCGTTCTTATTGTTGATTACTATTGAAATATTTTGGCAATTTAACCAACGATATTATCGGCACATTCCGAAATTGATGTTATAGACGTGAATCACCAGCTGGATACGTCTTGAAGGGGAATAGCTCCAGCCAACAAGTGTTACTTGTTCCAGATATGATTGTAACATAATTATGTAAGAAGTTAAGCTTACAATTAGGTTAGACAAAGACGTTAACACCCGGGTGATAATAACCCCAAGCTTCGCCACATCTCAGTAGTGACATTAGACGAGAAAAGCAGTGCCGTCTTAAGTCATGGGTTTACTGGGCACTTGCCCAGTGTCCCACGCCTCTATGGGGGTGGGGGGTGGCATAACGCCTCTAGGGAACTTCACATCTCTAAGGGAGCCTCAGGCTTCTAGGTACATTATGCTGTCAATATTATTGTTGAATATTGAAATATTGTTGGCAATTTATTTTGCTTTCTCTTCCTCAAGTTTATTAAATGAAGTTTTTCGATGATCACATTATCTATGCGATTGTTTTTTTTTTGTACTCGCTAATACCAAGGGTCTTATAAAAAGAGTCATGTGTTCATAGTTTTAAAAAAAAATTTAATGAAAAAAGTAATAGTCATTAGAAATTACTAAAAAACCTTTTAATTTACTGCATTTGTTTGAAAAATAATGCTATTTCCTTTTACCTCAGATAAATCACATAGCAATAAATACATCACGCCATTTGTAATTTTTTTCTCTATTTTATACAATTGAGACTCAATTTATATTTAAAATGACCTGTTTTAAATAGCCATACAAGTCTATAGATTTTTTCTACAAAACAGTAGTTTTTTCTCATTTCTTTTGCAATTGTAAATTTTGGAAAACTTCTTAAGTTTAAATTAAATCCTAAATTATAATTATTATACAACTATGTTAACGATTAACAGCTTTTAAAGAAATTTATATATATAATATATATATATATATATATATATATATATATATACATATATAATATATTATATTCATTCATACATTGATGAATAAGTTTAAACAAATAAAAAGTTCCAAATAAAATTATGAAAAAAACAGTACTATTTAAATACAACTTAAAATAAAAAGTTATTGTGGAACCCCAATTTCATCTCATATCTTTTCTGTTCCTAGCCGGTTGACTGTAGAATTATGCAAAACTAAATATATCTATTTGTCAAAATTCATCCTGTCATATTGAATTTAACAAACCTTTTCTTGGGAGGGGCTTACTGAAACCTCTCTCCAATCCTTACCCTTAGTTTACTTTGGCGCCCTCGATCTCTTCTCCATCCCCAATTAAAATGACGGTACCGACACATTTTAATCTAAAAACAAAAATCCTAGACCATAATGCTTTCTAAATATTACTTGAAAAAATAGGCTACAGACAAACGTTCCCAGGAAAAGCGATGCTTATGGTGCTCTACGAAGACGATTTTGACGCCCCTATATATGTGAAATACATGAGATTTAATTGTTAAATTAACTATCAAGGACCTATCTTAAGATGATTTAGCCGCCCCGAGATATTGCCGGCAGGGTTGATTGGCCCTCTGGCCCCGCCTTCGCACGGCCCTAAGTATAGATAGGGTTAACTCTGTAAGGGACCTCAGTGCATTTCTGTGCCCAGGGTCTCCACTGATGTAAAGACGGCCCAGTGCATAGGTATGTTCTGTAATTATTCACTATATAATGTACTTAAGTTACGGAAATTTCCTTCACTTTCTTGAAGTAATTTTTAAATATAATGACAGATATGATTTGATAATAGCAATGTGAATTGTGCATACTTTTGATATACACATTTCATATAGTACAATAAATGTAAAATATTTTTGAAAATAAATAAATAACATAGTATCCTATATATTAAATTATAATTATTGAAATTAATTGACTTCACGACTTCTGTAATGGCCATTAATAACGTGTATTCGTATATTTAACATGTGTAAAATTTGAACCAAATTTATAACATAAATTAAATATAAATCTGTATTATTTATATTGTTTCGACTTAATCAGATGTAGCAAAATGAAACGTACATTATTTCTTATTAACTAAAATTTTGACCAAAATTATTTTTAAAATTTAAAATTCTTTCGAAAAATATGATTAATTAAAACGCAATTAAAAAAAAATATGTTTAATTAAGATGTTGTTGCCATCCACTGTCATTTACGCTATAGATATCTGAAATATTTTCACTAATAAACTTATGACCGATTCTCAACCAAGATCTCACCAGCCATGTACCATCAATCTACTAAAGATTATACTGTTACTACTTGGCATCACAAAAATACTACCGTTAAGTAGATGATGGAACTCCAAAAAAAAAAAAAAATATATAACAAAGAAATCACACAAATTCCCTACAAGAATAACCTCCCCTTGCCACCAGCTTTTACAGTCTCCTGTATAAATTTCACCCCAGCGTATCTGTGTTTCTCTCCTAAACATTCTTTATCACTCATCAACTCATCACATCAAATGTGTTTCTCTCCTAAACATTCTTTATCACTCATCAACTCATCACATCAAATGTGTTTCTCTCCTAAACATTCTTTATCAATCATCAACTCATCACATCAAATGTGTTTCTCTCCTAAACATTCTTTATCAATCATCAACTCATCACATCAAATGTGTTTCTCTCCTAAACATTCTTTATCAATCATCAACTCATCACATCAAATGTGTTTCTCTCCTAAACATTCTTTATCAATCATCAACTCATCACATCAAATGTGTTTCTCTCCTAAACATTCTTTATCAATCATCAACTCATCACATCAAATGTGTTTCTCTCCTAAACATTCTTTATCAATCATCAACTCATCACATCAAATGTGTTTCTCTCCTAAACATTCTTTATCAATCATCAACTCATCACATCAAATGTGTTTCTCTCCTAAACATTCTTTATCAATCATCAACTCATCACATCAAATGTGTTTCTCTCCTAAACATTCTTTATCAATCATCAACTCATCACATCAAATGTGTTTCTCTCCTAAACATTCTTTATCACTCATCAACTCATCACATCAAATGTGTTTCTCTCCTAAACATTCTTTATCAATCATCAACTCATCACATCAAATGTGTTTCTCTCCTAAACATTCTTTATCAATCATCAACTCATCACATCAAATGTATTTCTCTCCTAAACATTCTTTATCAATCATCAACTCATCACATCAAATGTGTTTCTCTCCTAAACATTCTTTATCACTCATCAACTCATTACATCCAAGGTGTTTTATTTTAATTTTAAAATTAACATATATTATTAAACATTTAAATGGTCCTATTTATATACAATCAATTCCCACGGCTCAAAACAATGAATACATACACCATCTGGAACCTGGCATATTAGAATGTATCTAGTGATTGTTTACAAAATGTTTAAAAGTTTTGTTATGTAAGCAGCGCTTATATGTGTTTAACATATTGGTGCAACAATCGTTTAAGCTCGTTGAAAAATATTTCATATTTATTGAAGGAAATATGACATAATTACTTTCATCACCCCTGTTAATTTATTTCATACAAATTCAAGCGAAATCAATCGATATTCTTTATAGCTTATCAAATCCATATATTGATATGCTAAAGTGGCTGGGGACATTGATCGGTGTATACCAGGTTGGTTTTACACCAAAAAAATAGAGATTATTCACAGCAACCAGTGGATTTAAGATATAACAGATTAAACACTGTCCTACATTTCCTCCACTGCTAGCTCTAAACAGTTGACCTTATTATCCAAGATATACTAATAGATCAACAAACGTCTTCCATGAGTTACAAAAGAAATTGAGTAAAACAAGGTAAATATGGTATCCTCCAATGACCACGTAGAGATAGATTTCACTGCATTGTGACGTCTTTATAAAGGTAATAGTGCACTGCAAGATACACGCATAAGATATGTCATTAGAAGGATGCTTTTTTATATGTTCTTTTAAATAAGAACACTGATGTCCCATTAGTTTGTAAGGTTTATTTTAAAATAATCTATTATGGTGTGATTCATCCTTCATAGAAATATTTTCAGTATGTAACAAAAAAAAACAACATAAATTTGTTCTTCCATTTCTACTTATTTGATCACGAATTGATACATTCTACTTACGTAATCTATGAGAATAAACATGCATTTTAAAAATAAGCACGCTAATTTATACCTATTTAATCATTTCAGTGTGCGTGCATTTCCTGCAGGTGTGTGATATTTCATTATCTAAAGACATCCCGAACTGCAAACACAACACATATTATTAGTATCAGACATTAACAAATATATTTAAAAACACAAATTATTAAAGTTGTTGTGTTTTATTTGTACATTTAATTTTTTTGTTTTGAAGCTCATAAAAAATGTTTTTTTTTACTATATATATATATTTCTTTGTACATTTATCTTTAAGATAACAGAAATAACAATTATATCTACTCTTAGAAAATTGAAGCCAAGAATTTTGTTTTAATTAAATAAAAATAATAAGTACTAGATGCGTATAGTACATTATTTTACATACACCACGTAACACTGATATGTTTTACTATGGGGTTTAAAAGGGAACTGTACAATAAAATGGACATAGAAACATTAAGACACGTTTACTTTAAATAGCGTGTGCATTTTCCTCATCATTTTTTAAATTCGTTTTCGATAGCTTATTATTTTAGCGAAACAATCTGAAATATTTAAACAAAGTAAACTAAAACTATCAAATTGTTATCAAACTTCCGTATCAATGAAAAAAAAAATATGTGTGTCTTTGTAGAGTCGATCAAACTAGCAAATCTTTTTTCGGGGATAATGCTGGGGCAGTCTTCATGACATCAGCGTACAACGGCGGATAATCCATGGTCATGATCGCTTTCTTCTCTGGGTCAGGGTACATTGCATTTGAGACCATAGCTGGCACTGGGGTCTGAACAGAGCTCCTTCGCTTCAGCAGTACAATCAGTGTGATGATGACCACTAGCAAAGCGACGATGACGGCGCCTAACACAGAACCGATTATTATGGGAAGGTGGTGGTTGACCTTAGGGCAGTTACAACCGTTGAACCCTTGTCCAGGGTTCATCCAGCCCTCATCTGTTTTAAATCTGGAGGAAAAGCAACGGATATTAAGACTGATTCGTCTAGTCAACCTGTTTAATAAATAGTATAATTAATTGGATTTAAGGATACACTTCCGTTAGGTATGTCCAGTTAGAATGTTGGGAATGTTTCGTCCTGAATTTTTTTGTTCAGATTATGTCTTCTGTTTTAAACGTCCATAACTAAGTTGTCAAACAACTCATCAAAGACATTAGTGTAAGCTCGACTTTTTTAAAAGTGTTTTGGAAGTTTATAGCAGTTTTTTTATAGTGATTTGTTTTTAAACATATTTTTGTTATATTGTGTTTGATATATGCGTTTGTTTCATTTTAAAAAGACACGTTAAGTTTTTTAAACTATAGGAAACAATTAACGGCCCATCGTCTCAGATTTACTAGATTTTTGCTTAATGTCGGTATTCCTGTCGTATTAAAAAGTCACGATTGGAACTATAAGTTGCTTTATTACCACCCACAGCAGGATTTACAAGTCTGCATTGCTATCTAAAACGTCCTTGGAGTCAGGTAATGTCGATCAAAAGTTCAAAACTTTTTTGCTGAGATGTTCTTTTCCTATCACATTACTTTAAATCTAGGATTTTTTTCTGTTAATGTAAATAACGGCGAAATGTCATGCACTCATAGATTAAAGCTTTTTTCAAAAATCAAGCAACATTTTGCCCCAAATAAATTTTGAAATATAATTAGCTTTAATGATTATTCTTTGTTACTGATGCAGATTTTTTTTTGAATATCTTATTAGAATGGGTATTGCTATCTAGAAACTGTTTTCTTATTTAAGGCTTTGGTTTGTCAAGATTGGACCACTTTCTTAATCCTCTTACAATTTATGCAACATTATAAAAATATATATATATAAAAGTGACTCGAAGCTCACCCGTGCTCCATTGAGTGTCCCCACCTTTCATGAGAATCCCTGGCAATGGCAACATTTAACATAATCACGAACAGCAGCGACTTCAACAAACCTTTCAACATTTTGAAATCTTCTTAATGTGTCTTTTTTGATAAATCTGTTAATAAATTAGATATAATATATAAACCAAATAAGTTTGGATTCATTCAAAAGCCAATAGGACATCATAAGAGATTTTCAAGGGATTCTCTGCTTTACTTTGAGCACAGAGGAAGCACCGTTTAGAAGGGTGAATTAGTCTATCTAACTTTCTTTTATTTATTAATATTTTTTTTTTCGGTATTAAGGGCGTGATTAATGTGACATAATTAAAATTTTACAATAAAAATGATATCAATTTACAGCGAAATCCATATAATACGAACGCATTTAATAACTTGAATTGATTTATTTATCTTCAATTAAACAACACGTTCTGATCTTTATTGCCAGGTGGTATTTTTATTTTTGTTGTTGTTCAGTTATTAAAAGATCAACTGCAATACTTCAGTCTTGTAGAGACAATGACGGGGTTTATAGGCTTGTGTCTTCCATTTCAATGGATTATTAGAAATATTTTTTTTAAAATGTAGGGTTCTTTTGAAATAGATCTTTTAATTGGCTATCAGTATCATACATATATATATGCATATGTATATATATAGTGTAATTATTATTGTGTGTGAGTATGAATTTTACAAATATTAACATTTGTTGTGTGTATGGCCATCAATAGATGTTCACATTCTCTAAAAAACATAAGTATTGAGGGATTTGACCTTTTTAGTTTTAATGTAACAAATTTAATAAAGGTATTTAATTATTTCAGCCTCCAAGCTCTCACTAAGGTAAATGTGTAGTTCTTTTTTTTTTGTATTGACTCAACCCCCTCTACCCGACAGATGAATGCGTGACTGACTAGTTACTTTAATTTTACATTTGAGAGCTTCGGTAGGGAAAAAAAAACACTTCTCCATTTAGGTTGATGTCAAATGCATCAAGCTTTGCATGAACAAAAATGTTTCAAATGGTGCAGGGGAAGTAATGCGTTTCTTAAATATTTTACAATGGCATTAGTTTGTCGAATTCATGAACTTAAAAAAACCTTAAAAATATATTCTTTAAAAGGTTTCCCATAACACTGTTTACAGATATCGACAGTTGAATGTGGTATCCAACGTATGGCAATAGAGTTTAATCTTGCTTTGACTAATTATATCCAAAATGTAATATCAGAAATTAAGGAAACCATTGTCATCACCATTTTTATATTGTTATAGAGATGTGTACACAGTCGTTTATCCATATATTTATCTAAAGTATAAAAAATACGCTATTGTTATGAGAATAAAACTTCAATCACATATGTATAAATAACGATATATATAATACATAATATGAATTATTTAATGTTAAATCTACGTTTAATTTTCATTTAATTCATTATCTTTATGATATGCCTAATCAAAGATTCCACCTTATTATTCCTAAGGATTAAAGAAGATAAAAAGTGTAAATATAGTGTTATACCCTAGATCATACTATGAACATACCTCTCTAGAATGAATGAGTGGCTAAGTCTGTACCAATGCCAACACTATCGTACTTATCTCTATGGGGAGCGTTTGTTTTAAAGTGTAATAAATTATGTCCGGCAGTGTCATAACATTGGCAGACCTTCAAGACATATAAGTTCTCTCATGTGTTCGTTAACTGGAACAGGGAGTCATTGTATGTGACTAACGGATGCCCGACAGATTAATGGATTGGTTAGTATCTTGTAAAGGTTCATTCTGATCTGGTTAAAGTTGAATACACATTTTTTTATATCATTCCTAAAAATGTTGTCAACTTCAAAAACGTTATACCATATTTGACGACGGATGTCCGGCTTGCACATATTTTAGAACCGCTGAGAATATCTATTCGTGGTTATTGATGCGAGGCCACGGTGTGTGACGTACGTTGTGCAACTCCACACTGTGTACCTGCGATCAATACTTCATACCTTAGCCTCCATTATAACCCAAGCATCGACACATAGCGTCTACTGCAGTGTAATGTCTCAAAGTTATGACTAAAAATAGATGAATGATATCATAGTTGTATCTTAGTCTTTGCTAAGGTCAATCACAATGTATTTTGTTCTTTATTTTGAAAAAAATATAAAAAGAGACTAATATAGTAGTCAATGTGTACGAAAACTGTAAACTAAAAAAAAAAAAAAAAATTAAAAAAAAAAAAAAAAAAAAAAAAAAAAAAAAAAAAAAATTTAAAAAAAAAACAACAAAAAACATGAAGGAGAGCCACACAAAACATCCATCCTTTTTTTATTACTAAACCATTTCTTTCTTATTGATGATTGACATAAATTGTATGCAGATGCTTAAATGTATGAAAAGAAATATACATATCTCTCTGACTTTACTTTAGTTTTACGTTATTTCTAATTGTTCAAGTGTTAATAATTTCCTTAAGCAGCTTGATATTCTCAACTAAATTAATGTTTACTAGGTAGAATCGCATTCATCATTGAATTGAACGGTGAGTGTATTGACAAGTTCTTTCTTTAAAACTAGACAGAGATATTTCTTAATAATAGCCACAGTTTCACCATATGTTTTTTTTAATTGGGCGCCATTAATTGTATTAACGTTGTGGTAAACATTCATAAAATTTTAGTCATTTTAAAGTTAAATTATTTTATTGGTTTCTGCACTATTAAGGATTAGGGATTCACAATATTTTTTAACTGCTCCATATAGCTTTATACACATTGTAAATAATAATAGTTATAAGTAATTTATATTTATTTATTATAGGCTATATCTCGATAAACTAGACGGCGTTTATTCACATCTTCCAGGTTAAAAAAATGTATTTATAATTTTAAAACCTCTTTGATTTATATATTTCTGATGATGTAACATATTACCAGGTCTCAGGGCTTAGAATACATCACCTGGTCACACACACTGTACTGAAAGTATTTCAATATCGGTGAAATAAAAAAAAAGTATTTTATTTGAACATTTCTTAGCTATCACCTGCCAGATCTTTGAAACGGAAATTCGCATTTACCTTGACTAACTCTTAACTACCACTAGTCCTATCAAGTCGTCGAAATAAAAACTACCATTTCACTCAACTAACCCTCAGCTATCACGGAGCAGGGCATGCATAGCTTGCATGCATTAGTTGTGGAATGATGCAGCTGTTTTGGTGCAATGGCATTCTATAGTCATAGTAAAATTAGTATAACATATGCATTGGCATTTCTTTGTTAATTCAGTACATAGAAGATGACAACAGACCAATAATGAAAGGTCGGAAACAAGCATCTTACGGGTCCGAATCTGGAGACAGTGAGTCACCGATTAAGATAAGATAAGATAAGATAAGATAAGATTCTTTGATTGATCCAAATAAATGGAAATGTTTTTGAGCACAAACATAAAATAATTTGAACACAAGACATTTATAATACATTATTTCAAACAGCCATTCAGTGAGTTCTCTTAGCAAAATCGGGGACTCATTAGTTCTCATTCGGATGTGTGACAGAGGAAGCACGCCGGTAAATTTGTACAGATTGGGGAACAAAAGAATTTTTATATCGGTCAGTCCTCGCCCTGATGGAAAGAATTCGTCCCGAATGGCCCGATCCTAAGTATCTAGGATGTAGAGGGTTAGATGTATCATCCAAAATGTGTTTAGTTTTGCAAAAACATCTTTCTTCAAATAGTTCTTCAAGTAAAGGATGTTTAGTTTGTGTTATGTTCCTAGCTTTCTTGATGAGTCGGTTTATGCGGTGTTTAATATCAGACGTTGAATTCCCACACCAGCAGGTATACTGAAATTAAGTAGGCTTCTAATGGTTGCACTGTAGAATAAGTTAACGACTTGCTTGTTAACGCCAAAATTGTACAGTTTGTTGAGGTAGAGCAGTCTTTGGTTGAATTTCTTATACAGGATTTGTCCGTGCTCATGCCATGTTAGCTTATTACTAATGGTGACACCTAAGTACTTGAATGCCTCCACTTTCTCCACATCTTGATTTTTTATGTTGAGATCGTTAATCAGGTGTTTCCCCCTCCTGAAATCAACAACCATTTCCTTTGCTTTTGAGACATTAAACTGGAGAAAATGTTATCGCACCAATAGTAAAGCTTGTTATTAAGTTACGGTATAGGCCTTCTCCTTCAGATATTAAGCCAACAATTAAGGTACACCTCCACTCATTATAAACCAAAAATAATAAAAATAAATAATGATAAAATAATGAAAGGAAAAAAAAAGAGGGGATAGCTGGCGACATCACCATAATATAGATAGCAAATTTATTTTATAAATAACTGTTGAGTGAAATAACTAACGTTGATAAATGATTCAACCCATGTAGAATAGCAAAATCGTTTCGTTTACATTTTAAATATTATTGTTAGAACCATATTCTCAAGCATAAAAATCGTTTATTTATAAGACAGTCAGAAACGCTTTGCTTTTAGTAATCAAGATTTATGAACAATAGTAAATTGTAAGTCACAGATATCTTCATTTTTATTTTGAACCTATAAAAGGCATATTTTTTTCACAAATTATTTCAGCCCACTCAATTAGTTAGCGCTATCAATGAGAAGAAAAACTCGCAAAGGTAATAGTAATTTCAAAATATGAATTTTATTAAAAATACATTCAGAACAATAATAATTGTATAAAAAATGTTGTATAGTATAAAAAATGATCTTGGTTAGAGACGTGTAAAATGTCTTTAGTTTGTAGTAGGCTCAATATATTTATGTTGTTAAAAGCATTACAAAAATTAAAGTATAAAAATTACTGGTGTACAATGAAAAAAAAATTATTCAAATGATAATGCTATAATTAAATACATTTTACTGCATATACATGTATAACTTGCAATAAAAATTATATGGTTGAACTTTATCACATTTTGTGTTCAAAATTTGAACGTGTGTGGAACATTTAATTTGAATTTGGAAAGAATTTGTTAGTTGTTGGTGTGATACTTAACATTAGACTTTGAAAGAGATTTACTATCATTGATGTTTAAGATAATATTTTGGCATACTGGAAAATAAGAATTTATAAAAGACAGCCGCCGTCTATTTAGGTTGGTGTGTTAGTTTTCTTTTAAGTACTCTAATTTCTTTATAGGTTTTGTTTTAAAAATTGGTTACTTTCTAAATTAAGAAAAAACTTTAACACAGCTACAACATTAAAAAGTGTAAAGAGATAGTTCTTCTTAACGTCAGATCCATTATATGTATGTTGGAGGAGCTGACTGTCCCATATCGGTCTTGGCCTCCTCAACGTTCAGGGTTGGAGACGTCTCGACCAAAGTGGTGTACCGCGGTGGGTACTCCGTGTTTGAGATGGGTTTCTTCTCCATCTCAGGGAACATCGCGTAAGGCACCTCCAGCGTCTTGCCGTCTTGCCTATGCACCACACGTCTCAGCGCCACGATGAGCACGGTGACGACCACCAGCAAACACAAGACCCCGGCCCCCAACACCGCACCGATTACTATGACCATTCGGGTGTCTACTCTGTGATCATCACGGCCAAAGTCATCACGATTGGGAAACGCGTCGAAGTCAACATCTCTCGGAGGCGCCGTCGTCACTGGGGGGAGTCTAACCTCACACTGGGAGGTGTTCAGGTCTGCTTTAATGAAGTAGTCGTTCTCGGGCAAGTTGACGAGGTTCGCGTTGAAGCAAATCCCCACGCACTGGCAGTCGGCTGGCGTCCGATGAATCGAGCGGAACTCAAAATACTGCTGTGCAGGGTAGCATCTGGTCTGGTTCATTCGCCTGCAGGACAGCGTGTAGGTCTCCTTGATCTGGCAGGAGAAGATATTGTAATAAACGGTCGGATCCTCAATGATTCTTTTAGTTTTAAAAGAGAGGACTGTTCCTGTTACGTGGTGGAATGTCCTGTTGTGGACCAATGTCCTCGCGTCACACATGTCCTCAAAGGCCCTGTCATTGGTGTAAAGACAAAAGAGTACATGACATAACGTTGAACTTGAACATTGTTTTCAATTTTAATGTGTGCTTGTGTAATTCTAATAATCTAAGCACAACGACAAGTAATACCACACTCACTGATTCACTGCTTGATTAATAATTTTGATTAAAATTTATTACTTATTACGATTAAAATAAAAATATTAAACAATAAATACAATTAACCGTAAATTAATGAGCGATGTCATGAAAATAACGCAAATGAACTTAAATAAATTCGGTAAAGTGAATTTTGAATTAATGAAAGAGTTGTTCAAATTTGAGCAGCTCGGCATTTTCAAAAAAAACATTAAAAGACAGTTTTTATAAGAAAGCAATACGTAAATGTAATACAAATATATTCTCTCTTTGATATATTATAGACATATCTATATATCTATATGTATCTATATATATATTTTTTTTCTCTTTAACTGTAATCCCTTCAGTTAATATATACCAGTCCCTAATATAAAATGATTGCGTGAATCTTTTAACAAATGAAACATGATAAATGACCAATGTTAGTGTATGAATCTTACACCATCAGATCTGCATCGTCGATCCTAATGTCGTAGGGGCCAATCGATCCGATGTAGTACTGCATTGAGAACCCGTCACGGGTAGGAGGTGAGACGGCTATCGTCACATGCATCACAACCAGAAGGACCACCGCACACAGTAAATAAGATCCCATCTTGATCACCTCTTGAATTCCCTGTCGTGATAACTTTAAGAGTAATATGCATACATAAACTATGATTTTTGTATATGTTTAACTATATATAACACAAAAGGGTAAAAAAACATGATTGTTAACAACACACAATCACATCGATGTCAGTACATTTCGGCTTTAAAAAATATAATAAGAAACTTATTATATATCTTACTGGATTAAATTTAATTACGTATTAAATTTCTAACATTTTATAATATTTATCATTCAGGTGATGTCCTCTGATTGTAAAGTCAAGATATTACTCCCTTTGATTAAAACAACATTTCTCTGAATGTGCAGTTGAAACAACCAATTTAGCTTAAGGAGTTTCGTCTCTATTAAAATGGGGGTAAAAGACCCGAATCATAGATATCTACATTGTTCCACTTGTGCAGTCAATAGATTGTATTTGATAAGTTTTAAATTGTTTATACCTCATCATTTTATAATTACCCACACAAAAAAACAACAAAAAAAAACAAACAAATACAACCTTAGCAACTGAATAATAATATCAATGTACTGAACTTTATTTATTTTCTCCTGTCGTTACTGTTTTCTAAAACGAATCTAGCACTTTCGAAACACGATGCATAGAAAGCCGTTTACCTGACATGTAGAAGTCTCTCAAATGAGACCATAATCAAATCGGTATCCAGCATACTGTCCTTGGTCTGACCTTGACACTAATAAAAAAAAATGTCTTTATACTCAAAGTAGGCCACTGCTCGATGCAGTGGTTCTTTTATTTTTCATTATCGATATAAACACATGTGTGGTATCGTTGGACAATACACTTTAAGATATGTATGAGGGATCCATTGTCATTGTTGTAATAGTTTCTCCTGGATAATCGATTACTACCGTATGGCAAACGTCAATAATTCAAATTGAAGTTTCCAAATAGCGCAGTGGTCTGCTAACTGTTTAAGCCATTACCCCAAAATATATTTCTTTATCCCAACGTTACACCGATTTGTAAGGAAGAAAATCATGGACTATTTAATTTCAAAATGTTTTATTGAATCTATAGGGAAAATACAATTAAAAATAAGAGAAACTCTCAATAAATTAATAAAATCCTCATCGTGGAAAATGATGATTTCTTTGAAGAAAACAAATGTTCATTTTAAATTTTGTTAAAACGATGTTTCATTTTTTTGCAATAACGTCATCAAAATTGGGGCCTTTTAAATCAGAGAAATTTGATAACTTTCCTCTGGGTTAAATAGTTGATTTCTATACTTCCTTACTATGTTAATTGGAGTGGAAAATCCTTGTCGCCATGCCATTTTTTTTTCTGCGTATCACTGCAACTTTTTGATTGCCTCCTAATGAGCAATTTTGAAAGTTTTTGCATCTCTTGACTTTATGACCATAATCAGAGGAGTCATTGCGGGATGCAGACAGCAATTATTGGCACCCTCAGGAGGTGAACATCACACATAGCGACACCATCAGGAAGTCAACACTGCACCTAATATCACCATCAGGAGGTCAACACCAAAAAACATGATTGAACAAGATCAAGCTTGGTTACATAAAACACCCAAAATACAAGAGCAGGGAGCCACCAGAGTATGTTGCCATAAGAGCAGGGTGTCACCAGAGCAGGGTGCAACCAGAGCAGGGTGCCAACAGAGTATGTTGCCATAAGAGCAGGGTGTCACCAGAGCAGGGTGCAACCAGAGCAGGGTGCCAACAGAGTATGTTGCCATAAGAGCAGGGTGCCATCAGAGCAGGGTGACACCAGAGTTTGTGGCCATGAGAGCAAGCTGCCACCACGGTGTTTTAGCGATAAGTGCCGGGTGACACCAGAGCACTGCTCGGAGTAGGTCCATGGTTAAGTCTAAATGACAATGAAGCCATGCATTTACCGCTCTTGGTGACATCAACTCGAGAGACGCAATTAATGTATCGCACTGGATGAAATCAACTCGATGACGCCATGAATTTACCGCACTGGGTGAAAGCAGCTCTAGTAGATGAAGTAGGCCAACATAACGAATGGAACGCAAGAGGTGAGACTATTCTGGGGACAAAGCCACTTGTAAACCAATTGTAACTACAAAATGTTGGTTGCCACTCTAAATTACACCGTCCAAAGGCAGTGGTGCCAGGGGGGGGGGGAATCGTTTAAAAACACAATGTTAAAGTGTGTGTGTGAGTGTGTATGAATGTTTGCATGCGTGTGTGTTTTTGTGAGACTGTGGACATGTATGCACGTATTATGTATGTGTGTATGCATATATAGAATTTAGTGTCCGTGAAAAGTCATGCGCTTCTGTCGTGTAAGATGTTTTTTTGTTTTTTTCTTTAATATGAATTGAAGGTGCGTTCCTTTAAGTTGAATCGTCACAACAAGTTCAAGGCCGTTTTGGCAAGATTTTATTTTAAGAGTGCAACAAATCTTTTTTTTTTTAGAGCAGAGGTTCCCATTTTGTGTTAAGCGGGAGCTTCAAGCGCTACGAGTGCTCTTCTCGGGGGCTCAATAGCCGCACCATAAAATCAAATAAATACACCACTGAAAGACACAACTGACACATGGAGTAGGCCTAAGTGGAATTTTTGGCTGGAGTTTCAAAACGGCCAGGCAAAAGTTAATAATCCACTCCGCCCCTGTCTTACTTTTTTTTTCCTTGGACTTGGGGGAATTAGTTTTCAGCCATGATCACAGATTTACGATGAGACAGACAGACAGACGAATAGACAGACAGACAGACAGACAGACAGACAGACAGACCAGACAGACCAGACAGACAGACAGACAGACAGACAGACATCCATTACACAATCGATCAAATGAAAATATCATTATTTTTTTACGATTATCTAAGGAAGACAGCACAAGAATAAAGCAGATGAAACAGGCCAACTAAAGCTGTTTCAATGTATAAGGTAAAACTCAGCTTATTAAAAATTATGCTTTAGAGGTATAAATTAATATTTTAATTGAAGGGTCGAAATCTATTTTTCATTTTTTTTTTATATTAGACTACTTTTTTTTTTTTTAGTAAAGTATCACTTTATACATTTAATGTAAACAGAAAACATGTTTTGGACCCGACGTTGATTGAGAAATAGTTTAAATTTTGTTTATAAATAGTGGTGATTTAAAAAGCCAGGGGATTATAAAAAGGTTGACATTTTAAGAATATTCATCGATGAAAATGTAAGACTTATTTCTAAAGCTGATATTTCCAATCTGGAAAAACTGGGCCGAATCCAGAATCAGGCTCTGAGATTCATCTGTGGCGCTTACAGGACTACTCCCACAGCTGCTGTAGAGGTCTTGGCCAATGTAGAACCGTTACAAATTAGGAGGGAAAAATCAATATTAAGTACCGTAGAGAGGTACCGTCGGCTCGACGAAAACGAACCAGCCTTCCAAATGCAGAATAACTGGGTGGGTGGCAGGAGACTAAAGAGGTCCTCTTTCATGCACCAGGTCGTGGAGCTGGAAAGGACAGTCACCTTGTCCCCAAATAGAGAACGTCTGACCTTAATCCCAGTTAATCCGCCATATGCGGAGCCCTCACGTCCCTCTATACATTTGGCCTTGACTGATGCAGCAGTGACGAAACGCAGCCCTGAACATGTCCAGAAAGCGGCTGCCCTTGAGACCATGGATGTGTTCACACACATACCTGTGAAAGTGTTCACGGACGGTTCTGCCAACCTGAGAGAAAGAACTGCTGGGTACGGTGCGCTCATACTATACCCAGTGGGAGGACCACCTATTGAAGAACTCTTGGGGCCTTGTGGGACTGCAGCGTCAAATTTTCATGCGGAGCTTATAGCTATGCACATGACCTTGGAGAGAGTCCACGACACTTTGAAAGGGACGGAACATGCGGGGCTTGATGTGGTTGTTTACTCAGACTCCAGATCTGCTCTTAAGATCTTGGTAAAGAGACAGGGTACCACACACTTGGTCGACGTCATTACCAACGACGTATGCAAACTTGGTGAACTAGGGTGCAAGGTTACAATACAGTGGATACTCTAAACCAGGCTTATTCAATACATGATCACAGCCCCAGACATGAATTTGATGGGTGCCAAACACACACTCAACCCTTTAGTAAACCCACTGTACTCACCTTGTATCTCGACGGCCCCGTCTACAACATTACCGACATTATGTTCAACTACGTTACGTTCACTTATGTTTTCTTTAAATAAATAATCAACATACATTTTACAAAAGAAGAAGTAAACATTGCAACGCATATATTTCGTTATTATTTCGTAACATTTAAATAATAATAATAATGACAGCTTTAATATAAAATAAAATTTTAATATCCATGTAAAACTGTAAAGCAGAAGTAAACGAAGTGGACCAATCCCATGGACAGGAGCAGCCGAGGCGGGCATGATATCATCGACCCATAGGGATATCCCTATTATCTAAGAAGCTCACCAAAAATTTAGACTTTAATAACGGCAGTGTGAGTCAAAACGTTTGGGAACCACTGATCTTGAGGATATTTTTTTTTACTAGCTTCATTTCGCATCAAACTGTATGATAAGAGCTCCAGAAAATGAAAACATTAAACAAATAAACTTTGACATTTGTACAAGTACATTGGCTAACGGTCCATAAAATTATTAGCTGAATGATAAGAGAGAAACATATTTCATCTATTATTTGTTAGGTTAGGAAGGGAGCTCTTGTTAGGTGGAACAATATCGCTATAAACCATAGTTGATTCAACAACAAAAAAAAGTGTGTTTGCACAGGATCCATACTAAATTAGACTTGCTATGAGATGTGGCTAAGTTAGGTTAGTGATAACCGGGGAACGTCAATATTTGTGCCACAAATGCCGGCCGGGTCGGACCAACCCAGCAGGTTTAAGTTATATATGGTGCAAAAGTATTATTGTATTCCCTCTTTTTTTTACCATGTTTACAAGCAAATGAGGAGTGATGTGAGTCAAACATATTAACACATGTAAGTCATAAATCAAAGATAAAAAGATTTCAAATTTCAGACATAGCTAGGTGATAATTGCAATGAGCTTAACGTAGATGGGCGCGAGAGGCAATGAGCTTAACGTAGCTAGGTGAGAGAGGCAATGAGCTTAACGTAGCTAGGTGAGAGAGGCAATGAGCTTAACGTAGCTAGGTGAGAGAGGCAATGAGCTTAACGTAGCTAGGTGAGAGAGGCAATGAGCTTAACGTAGCTAGGTGAGAGAGGCAATGAGCTTAACGTAGCTAGGTGAGAGAGGCTATGATTTTGACGTGGCTAGGTGAGATAGGCAATGAGTTTAACATAGCTTGGCGAGAGAAGCAATGAATTTAATGTAGCTAGGTGAGATAGGCAATGAGCTTAACGTAGCTAGGTGAGAGCGCCACTGACGTTAACGTAGTTAGGAGAGAGAGGCAATGAGCTTAATGTAGGTAGGTGAGAGAGGCAATGAGTTTAACCTAGCTTTGTGAGAGAAGCAATGAGTTTGATGTAGCTAGCTGAGAAAGGCAATGAGTTTGCCGTAGCTAGGCGAGAGAGGCAATGAGTTTCACGTAGCTAGGTGAGAGAGGGAACAATGATTTAAACTCAGATTTCTGAATGCCTTAATTTTA